GATATTATATTATGTTTATTTGTTTAGTAGAATATTTGATTACTCCAGAGTAAGAACCAAATATAATTTATTGGCACTTTTCATTCTGTTATAGATAGTGCTATTTATTTGTGACTTTTTTTTTTCTACAACTTATGGTTTACAATTTTAAAAACTATACTTATTGCAGAATTATTACCCTAACATTAGGATTAGTATCAAGCCAAATTTAACAATCATCTAAGTCTGAATATACAATAATTAATAAATAGATCTTTATGTTCCTTTACATAGATGATTTCTAGTAATTTTAGTGTCGCAGTGGAGGTATAGAATCGAAAAAGACTTTAAACTTATGTTTTATTTTAATTTATGCGAGTAACTTTTACAATTATTACACACTCAAGACATATGACATATATATGAAAAATTGACACTTATGATAGACAGGTTAACCAACCTCTACAAAAATAAACGAACTAAAAATTAAATTTGCCATTGTGCGAATAGATGTCGGTACTTGTATATTTGACACCCCCTCAATGGTAAATATCCACTGATCTGTATTATTACAGATCAGTGTAAATATCTCAATTTAAAAACTTCATACATTTTAAAAAATAATTATAATTTAAGCTAATCCACATTGTTGAGAAAATTGTTTGAATAAAGTTAGAGATAATGGTTTTGTAAAGAAATCATCAATTTGCATTTTTGTTGAAATGTATTTTAGTATAATAACCTTATCTTTAACTTTGTTCCGAATAAAATGGAATCTGATATCAATGTGCTTTAGTAACTTGTGGAATTCTGGATTTGTACAAACTTTTATAGCGGTTTGATTGTCCTCAAAAATAACAACACTGAAAACTTTTGAATCCAAAATTTCAAAATCAAAAATCAAATTTCTGAGCCAACAGGCTTCGCTTACACAAGGCTATGTATTCTGCTTCTGTAGAAGAGAGTGCCACAGTTGCTTGTTTCTTAGAACACCAACTTACTGGGTTTCCAAACATTTTAAAAATATAACCTGAGGTAGATTTTCTGTCCACTCTGTCTCCAGCCCAATCAGAATCTGCATACCCTTCAATAAGGTTTTTAAAATTATTTTTATGAAAAACCAAAGATAATTCCAAAGATCCTTTTATATATCTTAAACCCCTTTTAATTGCTTGCCACAACTGTAAACTTGCTTTAGATTGATACCTGCTTAAGATGCTTATGGATATGCAAAGGTCTGGACGAGAACATAACATAGCATACATGAGTGACCCAATAGCCCTTCGACATTTATTTTCAATATCAATACATTCAGAGTTAACTCGTTTTAAATCCCAATGCGAAAAATTTAATTTCATGGGAGTGGAAATGGGTTTGCAGTTTTCTAAATTAAAATGCTTTTAAGATAATGTTGTTTGATTTATGATAATAGTATTTTCACTCAAATTTTGTGTTATTAACATTCCCAAAAAGTGTCTTATGGGACCTAAATCTTTCATTTTAAAGTTCTCATTTAAAGTTTGTTTTAACTGGCTTATTTCTAAATCATTTTACCCTGATAACAACAAATCATCTACATAGAGCAAAATGAACACTGAAATTTTCAGTGATTCTTATACAAATGCAATATTCACTTTCAGATCTTTTGAAATTTAGTGACATTATTAAATCATTAAATTTTTTATACCAATTTTTTGGTGAAGAATTTAAGCCATACAAGGATTTTCTTAGCTTTACGACTTTATTCTCTTTTTCTTCAAAACCCTTAGGCAAAATTACATAAACATCTTCATCTATGTCGCCATTTAAGAAGGCACTGCAAACATCAAGCTGATGACTTTTATAGTTAAAATAATTGCATAAAGCTAAAAAGATCCTTATAGATGGCAATTTTGCTACAGGACTATAAGTATCTGAGTTATATATACCGATCTGTTGAAAACCCCTAGCTACCATTCTCACTTTATATTTTGTAACACTACCACTTTCATCTTTTTTCTTCTTAAACACCCACTTGCACTCACCTACGTCTCATTTTTATTTAAGGCACTAATTTCTGTATCCATGGCATCTTTCCAATATTTCCAATCACTACTCGACACAGCATCATCATAGCATAAAGGTTCATCATCTTCATCACTTATAATCGTTAAAACTTTGTCCACGTCCATTTCATAGTCTTTAAAATTTTTGTTTGGTTTTCTTTCTCTTCGTAACTCGTATCTTGCATTTACAATTTCATCATTTACATCTGAGTTCAGAGATGAGGCATCTTCATAATCTGAACTTTGATTCGAGCAAGTTCTCATTATTTTCTAAATTCTCATTATTTAAGATTTCATCTCTTTCTTCATTTTGTATCTCTGGCTCGTCATTTATATCGTTTTCTTCAATGTCTTGCAGGATTATTTTATCTGGTTTTTCTGTAATTTTATTTTTCTCGGGCAAAAATATGACATCTCTGTGTACTTCTACTTTCTGTTTTTCTTAAAAAAATATTCGGTACCCTTTTATATCTTCTCCATATCCTACAAACATTCCTGTTAAATTTTTTGCATTGGATTTTTGAGGACTTGGACCTGTTTTATTAAGTGTAAAAGCAGCTGTATTTAAGGCCTCTGTCCAGAAAATATTACTGTATTTTTCTTCTCCATTTAGCATACTTCTTGCTGCGTCTACCAATGTTCTGTTCTCACGTTCAGCCCTCCCATTTTGTTCTGGTGTGTACACCACTGTTCTTTGATGTTTTTTGCCTTTTTGTTCCAACATTTCTCTTATTTCTGAGTTGACGAATTCAATGCCGTTTTTTGTTCTTAAGATTCTCATTTTATGGCCTGTTACTCGTTCTGAGAGGGGAATAAACTTTTCTAAATTCTTTTTTACCTCCGATTTATTTTTCATAAAATATATTTTTCTATATGAGGAAAAATCATCTTTTAGAAGAAGAAAATAGCGTGCCCCACCTAAGGATTTTGTTTCCATAGGGCCACACACATCTGCATGAACTAATTCTAGTAGGGCTGTAGCTCTTGATTTGCTATTTTCAAACGTCAAGCGATGCTGTTTTCCAGCTAAACATTGTTCACGTATAAAGTCTTTGTTTATTTCTAGATATTCAATTTTGTTTCTTTTCAAAAAATCTGGAACATACTTAAAATTTTGGTGTGCCAGCTTGCAATGCCATTCTTGAATGCTTCCTATGGTTTTTACATTCATACATTCTGAGATTAAATCTTCTTCAAGTTCATCAACCTCCGTTTCATTTTGAATGTACCTTTTTTCAGTGTAATTTTCATTATAATTTTTAACAAAGCACATTTTATAAAGCTTATTTTCTCTTATGGCTGTTGCCCTTATTTTTTCATCTTTGTCAGTGAATTCACACTTTTCTTTATCTGATCTTAAAAAATATCCCTTATCTAAAGCACAGCTTGCTGAAAATAAATTAAATTTTAGCTCTGGTACATAGAGAACATCTGATAGGGTAGTTTTAATTAATTTTTGACCATTGTAAGCCCATACTATTTTTCCTATTCCTTTCACCTCCAGCTTTTGACCATTTCCAACTTGCACCATTTTTCTTGTTTTTATTGTATTTAAGTTTTCAAACAAATTTTTATTCTAGCTCATATTCTCTGATACTCCAGAATCCAAACACCAGTCATCTATTCTTAAGCTTTCAGTATATACCATAAAACCATTTTCATCTTCACTCTCTTTTTTCTCATTTTTATGTATATGCTGGTTTTTATTTTTGAACCAACAGTATTTTAGGTCATGTCCTGACTTTTTGCAATGACTACAATATCGTGAGCTTCTTCCTTGGTTCATGTTTTTATTATCTTCAGTAGTTTTATTTCTAAAATAGCAATTTTTGGCTAAGTGCCCTACCTTTTTGCAAATATTATATTTTTTGTTTGTTTTATGCCTTTCTTCTCTAACTGTTAATGCACCTGCTTCATCTACGGACTTGTACCTCTCTTCCTCTAATAGAAGACGTGTAGTTAACTCTTTTAATGTTTGTTTCTCTGTGTCTACAGATTCCCAGGCTGATATAAAATGTTTATATTCAATGGGTAGGGACATGAGAATTTTTGTTATTATCATCTTATCAGATAGTGTTTCACCACATGTTCTTAGCTTATTTTTAACGTCTTCTATTTTTGAAATAAATGTAGCTACTGACGATTCAAATTCTAGCATAAAAAATCTTTGCTGTAGGAGATGTATGCTCACTTCTGATTCTTTGTCATAAATTGTTTTGAGTTTTGTCCACATGTCTTTTGATGACTCACAAGACAATATATGTGTAATTGGGCCTTCTTCCATTCTCGTTACCAACATTTCTTGGGCTTTTGCATCATTTTTTGTCCAAGTAGCTATTGCATCATCCCCAGTCGTAGGTTTTATTACAGTTCCATCAAACACATTGAAAAGACCTTGACCTTTTAGCATTATAGTCGCTTGAAATTTCCAAACTTGCCAATTTCCTAAATCAGTATGTTTTAGGGCTCCAATGGTGTCTGTAGTTGTCATAATTGGGTCCATGAGAAAATCCTCAAACTCTTCATTTTTTATGTATGTTTAGCGATAATGCTTTATCACCTTGTCCGATTTATATGATTCTTTTTTTTTTTGTTAGTAAGGGGGTACCTCAAGGGTGGTCCCATATAAATTTGGTTAAGATGTGGTGATAGCATCTGCACGTTTTTGAAGTCGGTTTTTTTAAATTTTTAATTTCTAATACTTGTTTACGTACCGATTTTACACACGCCTCGCCAAGATTCTAGCCACACTTTCTTTTTTATTTTTGATATTCGTTTTGTATGCATGGGTCTGGGCCCATAACCTCTAGTAATTTTAGTGTCACAGTGTCTTATATTAATTTAAACATTGTCAAGGCTACCGACCAATAAAATTTAAATTAAGTAGTAAAAGGGCATAGAAAAATAATAGTATCAACTTATAAGAATGGCTCCCCTATTTAACATTTTTGTTGCATAATATTTACTTATTTTCAGACCCCGTGCACGCCTCTATCCCACAAACCATTCACAGCATAGCTGACGCAGTTACCCATGCCCGATTCGTGGGCACCGACCAGTCATCCGACGGGGTAGTCTTGATGCGCATTTTACAAGTCCTTAGAACTCTGACCCTATCCCCGGAAGGTGCCACCCTAACCAATGAAAGCCTTTGCGAAATAATGCTGTCATGTTTCCGGATATGCTTCGAAACAAGACTGGCCGATCTTCTACGAAAAACTGCCGAACACTATCTCAAAGACATGGTGCAATTAATATTCATGAGACTGCCCCAATTCTCTGAAGATCTGAAGGTTTCCTACATCAAGCAACTCAAAATGAAACCGGGAGCTCTAGACCAAACTCGAACAAAAAGAAAAAAGTATTATCCGAAAAAAGAGAGTAAAGAATTAGAAACTCCACCACCGCAAGAAATTATTGTTCAAAATCCCGCACAAACCGGCATAGTAGATATGCAAGGAGCAATTCTACAAAATAACGATAGTACCACCACTACTAACTCTGTTAATATTCCTTCTAGTCCAACTCAACGTGATAACGATATAACCATAGATATACCTACAGACGAAAGTTTGAAAAACTCAGAAACTACATCGAGCTTAGAAGATAGTATGGAAGTGAAACCTGTTGTGGAAGAACCTAAATCTGAAGAATCCGAAGAGCAGTACCATCAAACTCAAGATTATGTGAATCGGAGAGGTATACGGTTCACTCCTCAACTACAACAAGAAGTGAATCTATCGCCCTACGGTCTAGCTTGCGTAAGGGAACTTCTAAGGTTTCTGATTAGCCTTTGTAACCCTTTGGATAAGCAAAATACCGATATAATGATGCATTTGGGCCTCACTCTACTTACAGTGGCTTTTGAAATAAGTGCTGATAATATAGGAAAATACAGCACATTGTTGGCGTTAGTTAAAGATGATTTGTGTAGAAATTTATTCGCATTGATGAACACCGAAAGACTAACAATATTCGCAGCTGATCTACAAGTATCTTTTTTACTATTCGAATCGTTAAGAACGCATTTGAAGTACCAATTAGAACATTATTTAAAGAAATTAATAGAGATTATTTTAAACGATTCTAATAAAGTGACCTACGAACATAAAGAGATCGCTTTAGACAATCTTCTTCAATTATGGAGGATACCGGGATTCCACACTGAACTGTACGTGAATTATGATTGCGACATGTACTGCGCAAATTTGTACGAAGAACTGACCAAATTATTAGCTAAACATTCGATTTCTTCGACTTCCGGAGTATATCACACCCACTTGCTTTCTCTGGATGCTCTGTTGATTATAGCTGAAGGTATCGAGAATAGATGTTGCGAGGAAAAGGGTAGGATAGAATCGGAGGATAATGATGAAATAACGAATGATATTAGCTATTTTATAGGGAAGAGTTCTAGGATAAAGATTTCGGAAAATGTGCCCAAAAAGGAGGAGCTGGCTGCCAAGAAGTCGATCAAAAAATGGCTGCCGCAAGGTAAGAAATTATATTTTATTTTATATACGTAGTTTTGAAATATAAATTGTTGATCTTTAATTTTCTGAAATAAATAAAAATCCCAGGAAGTGAGTTCAGTACCATGCAAATAAGGCAAGTTGGTACGATCTGCTCTAGTGTTGATGCATTATGATGATCCAACTTCCAAGTGTACATTCTTGAATTTTGGCGTAGGTTAGGTTGAAAATTAGTGGGATGATCTCATCGCCTTCCACTGCAATATAGTTAGTACACGAAAAATAAAAATTTAATTTGCATAGTGGTTAAATCGTAGTTTTGCATGAGGGCATAGGTTGGAACATAGGGTGGAACAATGACCTAAGTACAGATTTTAATTTTTTAGTTAAACGCATCAGAAAGAATATCAAACTATATCTTAGAGTACAAAACTTGTAAAACAACGTCGTAAATGTCTGTTGCGTCATTGGTATCAACCTCACTAGGTATTCGTAAATTATAAAGTGATATTTATAGAGGAACAACTATTTAAATGGAGCCCTATTCTTGACGGCGCTAGAATAGAATGATTTCTGGGGATATTTCTTCGATTTTGTTCTAACAGTTGTCTATCGGTAATTTTAAATCGTATTCTTTAATAGTAAGGATAGAGAAGAACCTCGTAGAATTAATTTGATTTGATGCTAAACTCCTTAACCAATCAAAACGAAGAATATTTAATTATTTTTTAGCTAATAGGGTCTTTATCTCTTAAATCTCTTGCAGTGTTTTTTAATAAAGAAACAAAAATAGATAACGAAGTAACGTCCCAACCAAAAGAAAAGAGGTGGATTTTATGTTATGGATCTGATATGTATACGGGCATAAAGTTTTGCAGCTACATGTTTTGTAAACTCTATTTTATTAATATTTTATCACAAGAATAAAAACTATTATTTCTATTAGTTTTCGACATATAACCTTTATTTATGTGGAAAAGTTAAACAAACTTATTGGCTTATCGAAGGGATTTCTTTTAGACTATATTTAAATCTTTCTCCGCCTCATGTACAATAATTGTACATACATCCTCCACAATTTGCTCCCATAGTAATATTTGATATGAGGCTGAAGCTAGCAGACAACCCGCGCCCCGGTCACTTAATGTTTTGATATTGTTATTCGGCAAAATCTTTGATTTAGGTAGACATTAGTATCATGAAAGTTCAGAAATAAATAAAAAATAGTGTATTTATTGAAAAAAATAGATTAATTCAATTTGAATTATTAGTTAAAACAAAATAATTTTACAGAAAGACGGGGATGAAACAAACACATTTACAATGAGAATTTAAAAATAATTTTTATACCAATTATTTATTAGGTTTTTTGTTAATTGATTAAACCAAAAATTATGGCCGAACAATGATTTAAAATTGTTTTTTAGGCTTTTTAAAGTCAGGTGTTTTTTCGTCAAACGACTATGAGAACAAAGATACCAAAAAAACACATTTAGCACGAGATTACAAATACAATTTTTATACCAATTGTTAAGTACACTACTACCTATAAACTAAATAAAAAATAATTAAATAGCAAGACATCTAAATATAGTTTGTAGGTCTTTAAAGTCCAGCGTTTCCGCTGATAAATATTACTGAATACTCAACAAAAATACAACATTTAACACAAGATTCCAAATACAAAGAAAACAAAGATTCAATAAACAAGTATCAATAAAAAAAATAAATCATCAAATAGCAAGACCTCTAAATACATTTTTTAGCTCTTTAAAAATGCGCGGTTTCGCAGAATATCAAAAACCAATATTTAGCACGAAATTCCAGATATAATTTTTAGTACGAATGATTCAATACATTAGTATCATTTAAAAACACAATAAATATTACATAGCAATACCTCTAAATACGTTTTTTTTGTCTTTAAAAATCCGCGATTCCGCGTAAACCTTGGTTTATCAAAATGACAAAAACCAATATTTAGGATTAATAGTAGTTTGTGCAAGAAGAGTGGATATGATGGTCATATCGCAAGAAGAGAAGTTTAAGCACGACGCCATAGGTGAAGTGCTCAATCGTCTGAGGGCCATACAGACAATCTACACGAGCTGTACAGTATATTTTTTCTACGGCTTCCACTAACGAAAATCTACAAGTTTTAAAAAATTAATTATGAGTATTAACCCTAGAACCACAACTTGGAAGACTTAACTCACAGACCACAACATGGGGTCACGCATGACCCCATTTAAATTTAGGTATTAAATTACGAAATACGTCTAGTTTTTATTAATTTATTTCACAAAATACATTAACAAATTTTTGGAGCCTACAATTTTTTACAGAAAATCAAAAAACGTCAAAAATTTATGGCTTGCAGTCTTCACAAATACATAAACTATGTTCAGCACATATATTTCTTTTGCAACTTACACATATGTGGTGGCCCTTTCAGTCCGTTTGCGTGGACAGATAGTACATCTTCCTTTTCCACTACGATTATCTGTGAGTTGCTGAGCCTCATCAGGCATTTCAAGAAATTCACGGAGACTACAACTTAGGTTTCGGGGTGAACGTTCGTTTTGCACTCTTATTTTGATTCGGCCTTCTGCTAGGGCCAACGCTAAATTTTTTAAAACTGTTTTTTTACTCTCTTTGATTTCATTTATTTTGCAGTTTTGAAGAACAAAAGTATTTACACCACCGCCATCCAACATGCCGTAAAACAACCTAAGAGGCAAGCGCCTTGTTTTTCTTGCAGAGTTGGTCAAACGTGTGAACTCCACCTTTTGTTTCATTGTAAAAAATATTTATTTCGGATTGTTGTGTGCCCTCATCTATATCCGGTTGAAAATGCATTGTGCTTAGCAAAATAACAAGTTTATTTTTTTTTTCGGTACGACAGAATCCAGAGTCTTATTAGCATCAAAAGCAAATGCAGATAAAGAAATTTGCTGACGCTTGGTTTCTAAATAAATGCTACAGGAATTTCTCTCCTATTTTTGCGTAAGGTACCGACCATTGTTAGTTTCTTTGTAAGTAATTCATTTACCAGTTCAATAGAGGAAAACCAGTTATCCATAGTTGTTTCTGTTGGTATTTTCAATATCTTTTGATAGCTTCATAACATATTGTGTAGAAATAGATCCTTGACACCGATCCCTAGTTTCTTTTCCAATGTACGGTATATCAGAACACATATAAAAAGTTTTGGCATCGCACATCATAACGACCTTTAGGCCATATTTATCTGGTTTGCTCGGTATATACATCTTGAATGAGCATCGGCCTCTAAAACTCAAAAGTTGCTCGTCGACTGTAACATATTCAGAAGGCGTGTAGGTGTCTTGACAATTTTTTACATATATATCCCAAACTTCTCTTAGCGCTGCAAGTTTGTCCAAAGCCTTTCTATGTGTTCTTGTATTTTTATCATCAAATCGCAGACAGTTCAAAAGAAATTCAAATCGATTTAGACTCATCGTTAGTCGAAATATTCGGATCCCAAATTTTGTTGACCACAGTTCTTCTAACGATAGTTTACTGGCTTTTAAGACAGCAGCATAATACAGCAATCCAAACAAAGCCAGTAATTCTGCTTTATTTGTATCTTGCAAATATCTTTGTTCTGTTTTATAAGAGGTTCTTCGCAGTTCTATTTCTTGATTAGTATGTTCTACTATTAAGGATAAAATGTTGTCAGAAAAAAATAACTGTCAAATTTGTTTTAGATTCAGATATTGTCTAGCTTTACCTTTTGGTCCGGGTAAGTGGATTACAATATTTTTTCATGATGTTTTTGAAAATTTTGACTGACAATAAGGATGTGCATACCACTTATATCCATTACGTCCATATTTAGTTGGATATTTCTTATTTGGAGAAGGTGATGGTATGTTTTCTTCTAATATGTTTTGATATTCAATATTTTCTAGTATCTGAATATCATCTCATCAAAACGCCATCTTCGTCTTCACTTTCGTTTTCACGTTCCATGTTTTCTTCATCTTCGCTTCCTTCTTCATATAGAATTTACCAGATTTCCGCATCATTTAAAGGTCGTTTAGGGTCATCCATTTTATATTCCCTGCAATGTGTATGGTATTTCAAACATACATTATGAATATATATAAAAAAAGTAATAAAAGTTGTATCTACCGGAACAAAAAACGTCATACACAAACCACAACGTGGGGTCAAAAACGCAATAGTCATCAAATACTAGGTACGTGTCAAAGTAAACAGATCCGAACACACTAACCGATACAGGTTATCGTCACTTGAGGATAGCTGAACCCCCACCCATTTGTCCAAAATACAAACATGCGTACAGGCTTAAATGTAGGCGCAAGGGTCACCGGCGACCCCACGTTGTAGTTCTAGGGTTAAGATAAAATAAGTAATTTATGACATTCTAATTTATAAAATAAAATAAACTTGAAAAAAAAAAAGATTTTATTTAATTAATCTTCAATCCTAGATTTAAACCCTGGACTTTTCGCATAGAAACTCATCGTGTTCCAACCATATAACTCTGGATTGTTTTATTTTTGTTATTATGTCTAGCTCTTGTTTAATTTCTTCATTTGTTCTAATTCTGAATTCTTCTGTGATTTTAATTGGACCTAATATTGCTCTCATAGATTTTCTTTCCCTAATTCTTAGACCTTTCTCTTTTTTTGTCATACTTATTGTTTCTGCTGCGTACAGTAATATTGGTCTGATTATTGTGTTGTATATTTTCATTTTCGTAAATTGCTTTTAAGTAATTTTTTATTTGCGTGAAAGGCTTTATTTTTGGTGACCATTTTTTCTGATATTTCCAGTTTCCTGTCTCCAGTTTTAGCCATTGTGATTCCCAAGTATTTAGATTTTTGCACTTCTTCGAATTCATATTTTCCTATTTTAATACTTTTTGATGCTGCTTTATTATCTACTCTCATGATTTTTGTTTTTTTCTTGGTTTAGCTCTAGTATCATAATTTTTCCTTTTTTTACAATTTCGTTCAAGATGTTTTCCATTATTTTTCTTGTTTTTGAAATTATCACTATGTCATCTGCAAATACAATGATTCGTCCTCCCCCTTTCTCAGTGCCCCTTTCTTAATTTTCCTCATCGCATATTTTAATGATAGCGAATTGTGAAATACTTCAAAAAACAGTATTCGCAACTTCCCACCCTCGAGAAAGGACAAAATACTTACACAACAATAGACGAAAAAGGTCAAGCATTCGGCGAATACTTTCAGAGTATTTTCACGAATAATATACCCAGCAACAGGAACAACAAAGAATCGAAAATTTAGTTAACGACCTATGTAATAGACCAGTAACCTTACCCATCAAACAAGAGGATCTTACCACCCCTAAAGAGGTGTATAATATCCTGTGCGGGTTGCTTAGAAAGAAGGCCCCTGGCCCTGACGACATTGGAAACGTTCTCTTAAAAAACCTATCTAAAAAAGCTATTGTACAGCTTCATTACATAATTAATGGTGTTATCAAACTGCAATACTAAGAACCAAACAGTACTAGTGGCTATTGATACTGAAAAAGCATTCGACACGGTCTGGACCTGCGGATTAATTCATAAAATGATTGTGAATGACTATCCTGGGCACAAAATAATTCACTTATATTTGAAAGACAAGAAATTCTACATAAAAATACACAACATAAGAATAGGACCATTCACAGCTGATGCCGGAGTACCCCAAGGATCAGTACTCTCGCCGCATCTGTATACGATTATGACACATGACATGCCAATGGGTAAAAATGGTATACAGACGGCGTTGTACGCTGACACCTGTGTGTATATGACATCGACATCAGTCCCCTATCTAGATAAAAACAAAAAGAAAATCAACCCCTCTAAAACAAAAAACACATTATTATCCCATAGAAAAGCAGACGGGGTAAAAAGGAAATTAAAAATACAAAACCAAACCATAGAGATTAAAAACTCCATAAAATATCTAGGTTTTCATCTGGATAGGAGACTAACATTTAAACGTCACATAAACGATCGGGTCGCAAAAACAACAGCGATGATTCGCACATTATACCCGATGCTGGCTTACAACAGCTCGGTATCGAAAGCGAACAAACAATTATTATTTAAACAATTACTCCGACCGATATTGACCTATGGATGTCCAGTCTTCTGCTCCATGGCCGAAACGCATTTTAAAAATCTGCATCGCACACAAAACAGGTGTCTAAGGCTTATCCTTGGATGTGCAAGGGACACCAGAATCACAGAACTTCATGAGAGGACAGACATACCTCTTGTTAAGCAATACATTTTACAACTCGCGGAAAAATTCTATAGAAACTGTCTTCCTCCTAGAATAAAGGAAGACATAAATCAGTTTACAATTCAAAATAGCAATAATAGGAAGCATGTTTGGCTTCATGAAAACCTTACAATATACAATCGTTGAGACATAACAAAAATAAAGCGCAATAACAACGACAATCATAGCATGTAATGATTACTGAAACACACTATTCGATACCGAGAAGTCTGCGGGGCACTGAATCGAAAGAGCTGCCATTGGCGGATCCCTCGATCCAATGGCCAGCCTACTTGCTTGAAGGTCGAACAGTGTTACAATCCACCAGAGACTATTACAAACACACGTACTCTTCAAAACCCTGTTTTTCAATAGCCTTTTCAGAGAAAATAGACAAAATTAAAGCCATATACAACACCAACTCAATTCACTTACTGCAATAGCATAATAATCTTAAAATTGCTTAATAATACCAGCTGGGTAAAGAGTAAGCAAGAAACGTCCCAAGCTGCGAAAACGGCAGAACATCAGCCAGGGCCAATCCGAGCACCGAATTCCCATTGAAGATTGTGATTCGTGTAAAATATTTTATACTTTATATGCATTACTTTCTTTGTATTTCGAGTTTGAGATGTAAATGTACATATGTAAATACTTTAATAAATGATTTAAAACTAAAAACTAACTAGGTAGAATGGATATGAAATATATTCGTTCAGTTGAACGCAATGGCATACTTCTTCGTTTTATAGCCTGTGAGTAGAATAACCAATGTCCTTATCCGTGTAGGCAACATTTATTTATAGACAATTTTTAAGTTAAAAACTCTGATTTTTTTTATGTGTGGAATTATTGTGCTCCCCAATAATTATTCTCTTGCAAAATAATAAGTGAAGCATTTGGTTCTACTGGGAACGGATTTTCTATGGTTTTTTTCAATAGCAACGTTGTCAAGAACACGATTTTTGAAATTTCAGTAGAACCAAGTACACTGTCTCTCGGTTGTTATATTCTATCACTGTCAAGAATAGAAGAATAGGGCTCGAAAGGAAGATACTAAAAGCTGCTAGAAGTTTCCAAAATATGACGGATTTGGATTTACATTACTTGTTGTAAGAATTGTTTTCAATATATAGTTTAATATTGAAAAATTGAGATATTTTATAATGATGTAATTATTATCATTGCATAATTTTTTTTCTCAGAACTTAGTAATTTGCTCTTAGATCAATGTTCCACCGGAGTGAATTAAACAAAAATCTGTCAATACAAATTTGGTGATAACTTTTAGAGCCCAAGCTGAAAACTTATTTTATTTCCAAAAAAATATTTTTTGTTATTTTTGATAAAATCTGATGACATGCATTTTTGATGGAAATAATCTAATTAGCCGGAATACCCATCTTTAAACGTAAAATCTGTATTATTCGTTAGTTACATATCAAAATCACAGAAGTTTAGTGTGGAGGTGTTTTTATTATTTTTAATTTTTTGTTTGTGTTTCTTATTAAGCTTATTAACGACTTAACCAGACGATTTAGGATATATTATGTAAGTTGGATTAAATCCTCTTATTTTTCTTTCAAGCTGTCCCAACCTTTATTGCATAAGGTAACTCTGTCAGAATTTTTTACAAATTCGTGACATTGTATTACTGTCTTATTATTTTCCTATTCAGTTGTGTTGTGGAGTGTGGGCGTCTTCTCAGTGGTTTTAAACTTTTTTAACTTGGAAGGTACACAACACTAGTATAGCTAGGTTTCGTCACGTGTTAATGCTATTTACACCCAGAAAAGTTCTTTATGCCGGCAAAAAAATCATGGTAGTAGCGTTTTTGTAAATTACGAATTGAGTGAACCAAAAATACCACTTTAAAATTTATATTGTATGTTCTTCTCCTTACTAAACTTTCCAAATAAGACTGTTAAATTCATAAATATTGGAGATCCTAAGTGGAACCCCTGTGGTATCCTTACAGTTACAAAAAATTCTTTTATTTTGAAGGCACTGAATATTTTAATCAAAAGCCGAAAAAGGGCATACAATTTCTTCAAGAGCACGGCGTTTTGAAGCACGAGCTGGACGTCGATGAAGTTTCGAGATTTTTAAGAGAAAATCCCGCTTTAAACAAAGGCATGATTGGAGAATATGTTAGTAACAGAAGCAATTTAAAAATACTGGATGCTTTTGTCAAAACTTTTAGTTTTACCGGAGTACGAATCGATGAAGCTTTAAGGACGTTTTTAGAATCTTTTAGGTTACCAGGTAACGTGCTTCAATTTATTTTTTATTTAGTTATTTTCTTATAAATTATTCTCTTGTAGGTGAAGCGCCGACGATTTCTCTAATTCTAGAGCACTTCGCCGAGCATTGGCACAAGAGCAATGGTGAACCTTTTGCCGATGTTGATTCGGCTTTCACACTGGCTTACGCCATTATTATGTTGAATGTGGACCAACACAACGAAAATGCCAAAAAGCAGACCGTTCCAATGACCCCTACTGCTTTCAAGAAGAATCTGAAAGGTGTTAATGGAGGTAAGTTTGCATCTTTATAGATCTCGCCAAAGCCTTTGACATGGTGTATCATCCAGATTTAATGGAATCTTTTATCATAAGAGGAATAAATGAAAGAAGTTCTGGAATTTATTTATTATTCAACTACTACAGAGTACAGTATATCAGGATTAGTGACAATACAATTTGGTATTCCCCAAAGTACTGCTATTGGCCCTATTATATTTACATTGTATAGTAATGTCCTTTTAAATTTACTTATACACGCATATATCATAGACTTCGCCGATTACATGATCATCTACTACCAAGACATTAACTGGAACACTAAAGAATTAAATGTTTAATTATATCTACCTACTGTGTTAATTTTTTTCCGTAACAAATCATTAACAATTTATTTTGTTCAAAAAACATTAACCAGTTACGATTCAAATGTTCCAGAAAATAATTCCATTGAGTAAATTAAATTACAACAATTAAATGTCAAAAACAACTAAATACTTGCGTAGTTATTACAGACATGACTTGCATCTCTGTCTTTGTCTGTCATGCCCTACTTTAGAAACATTTTTATCTTTTGTGGTTTCTTATTTCAGGTAACGATTTTGAAGAAGAAATGCTAGACGAAATCTACACAACAATCAAAAACGAAGAAATCGTAATGCCCGCGGAACACACGGGCTTGGTCAGAGAAAATTATCTGTGGAAAATTCTCTTGCGCAAAGGACAAACGAAGGATGGTTGTTATATACACGACAATAGCGGCACTTATGATTCAGAGTTGTTCCAAATTGTTTACGGACCTATCGTGGCTGCATTATCTTCTGTCTACGAAAAATCAGAAAACGAGAGTGTTCATAAAAAAGTCATACAAGGTCGGTTACCTGATAATTTATTAGTATTTTTTTAGGATTTTTTAGTAATTTTTTATTAATTTTTTATTAATTTTTTATTAATTTTTTATTAATTTTTTATTAATTTTTTATTAATTTTTTATTAATTTTTTATTAATTTTTTATTAATTTTTTATTAATTTTTTATTAATTTTTTGTTAATTTTTTATTAATTTTTTATTAATTTTTTATTAATTTTTTTATTAATTTTTTATTAGTTTTTTAATATTTTTGTAATAATTTTTTGAGTAATTTTTTAGTAATATTTTAGTATTTTTTTTTTTAGTATTTTTTAGTATTTTTTTTAGTATTTTTTTTAGAATTTTTTTAGTATTTTTTAGTCATTTATTAGTCATTTTTTAGTCATTTTTTTAGTCATTTTTCAGTAATTTTTCAGTCATTTTTTGTTATTAGTCATTTATTAGTGTACGAAAAATCAGATAATGAGAGTGTTTATTAAAAATTCATGCTATGTCGGTTTCCTGATAATTTTTTAGGATTTTTTAGTAATTTTTTATTAATTTTTTAATAATTTTTTAGTAATATTTAAGTAATTTTCTAGTCATTTTTTTTAGTAATTTTTTAGTAATTTTTGGTAACTTTTTAAAGTTTTTTAATTTTTAAAATTTTCATTATTTATTAAATTTTTGATTTTTCTTTTTTTACTTTTTTTTTTTTATTGAATAATGTTTTGAATTCTCTTGGAAATGCGCCTAATTTGCATGCTAATTTTTTCAAATTTTACTAATTTTATTCATAGCGCAAGGTTTTGTTATTTTTTAGTATTCTTTATAATTTATGTGTTTCTCTTGTGCTAATTGAAAAAAAAAACTCAAAAAATGTCTGTAAAATATTTGGGCTCTTTACCCATTATGCCTATCCATATCGGGTCGGTGGTGTAGCAGTCTAACGCGCTTATATTCATTTATAGGCAAGTTTACGGTCCGAGACTGCCGAGCTTCGAATCCCAGACCAGACCATGTGGATTTTTAATTAAATTGCATGGTTCGGTATAGGATTTGATGTGTGCCGTATTAATAGAAATTCAATTTCTGTTGATATGACATGCAGATTATAAAATCGCCATGCATTACCGTCTCGATGATGGTGGGTGAGGTTTTCCGGGTTTTCCTCACCTGTAAGTCAAATGGCACCATCAATCATCTTTAAGTCGCCCCGGAGCGAAACGGAAAATAATAATATTAGCCGTCCCTTTCCCCGCACAAGCTCAGCTTTTGGGGTTAAAATTCACTCGTAAGGGGGTGAATTGGGGAGAGTATTATTATTATTAATATTATTATATAAAAATATATGGACCCTTTATCCCTCAAGTTTGTCCATGTAAAATATTTTGTCCCTTTACCCCTTAACCTGCTCATCTAAAAAGCATGCACATATAAAAATATTTGGGGTCCTCTACTCCTTAAGCCTGCACATGTAAACATATTTGGTTCCATTACCACTTGCACCTGTCTATATAAAAATATTTGGGCCGTTTATCCATTAAGCTTACCGATGTAAAAATATTTGGTCCTTTTACTCCCTTACGAGTGCCTATGTAAAAATAATATGTGGGTCTTTTACCGGTTGGATCCTTATATAAAATTCAGATACGACTTACATGCTGAAGTTCGTTAAAACTCATGCAAAAATAATCGTTTCTTCACCATCCTGTTTGTTATTCGCAAGATCCGCATTTATTTCAACTTATCACATTCACCTTAAATAAATAACCACTCTTATATCCTTTAAATTATAGATATTTAAAAAGACGTTTAAGCACTATAATAAATGCATTGCATTTTAAAATCACTAATATTTGAAGGACTAAAGTTTAACCGAAAATTCTGAAAATCAATTTTGTACTCAACTGGAAGGAATTAAATGAAATAGAACCGTGATCGGAGCCTTCGTCCTAGAGTAACCGTGTCGGTGCATATGCATACTGATTTGGAAATTTATAATTTATTTCTAATAACTTGCCCAAACTCAACGATAAAATGAATAAAATATGTAATAAATCTTCTTTTCTTGACACCCTCGGCTGCTCCTCCTTAACTTCTAGTCCCTCTGTTTCTGCTACTGTCTTCTTCTGTTCCTCCGACCAAGCACTATTTAATACTGCTCTCCCCTCTAATACTTGCTATCTGCTCAACTCAGCTATATTTGTTTGAAAATAAACTATATTTTCCTACTACTTTAGGTTTATATTTCTTTCAACCTCAATTCCAATTTCTAATATTCCATATAACCTCAATTGCATTCGTTTTCATATATTTAAATTTTTTTCTCACACATTTACAATTCCTTTTTTTTTATCTGACAATTCAAAAACCGCTCAGCAACCTGATTTTTTACTTCAGATTTCAATTTTCGAAAACTTCACTCCAACAAAGTGAACTTTTAATGATGTCAAGACTTTCCACATCAATGCACATGTAAGCACAGACGGCCAGACTAGATTTTTTGCCTTTTCAGACTCAGAGTGATCGAAAATGTGGAGAAACGTTTTAAAACGTAGATAGGGTGCCTCATAAATACCAATTTTCAGGAAGTTAATCATTTCACTATTGATAAATATAATTTTGTACAAACAAAATTTCATAGGGCACAATTTTGCTATCCAGAAATATCAATACATACGAGTATATACAGTACGTTGACTTTCCAATGGTATAGAAACACAATCCTATTGAATAGACATATATAGAATGATATGTTGTCCGCTGTGGACCGGAATATCCTATCCTTGCCAACAAAAGGGCGTGGTTAATCAAATTACTCTCTATGCTTTTCACATCCAAATATAATTGTCGGTTAACGTACTGTATAAGCACTAAGAGCAATTTCTTTCCATAACTTTTTGTTTTCTGTTTTTCTTTTCCAGTTGGTAACGTTCAATCTGATGTCCTCTTCAACCTTCTTTCCCTATCTGTCTTTTGGTTGTCCTTTTCTTTTCTTCCCTCCTAGTTTACTATCCAGTATTTTTCTCTGAATCCTATTCCTTGGCAACCTCAAAATATGTCCTATCCATCGTATTCTTTGCACTATGATGATCCCGTTATATTTGAGTCTTTAGATAGCTAATTTCGTTATTTGTTCTTCTCTTCCAAAGTCCATCATTTTTTTTTACCTCCAAAAAGTTTCCAAGCGCTTTCCTTTCCAATATTTCTAGTGTCTATATAAGTTTCTGTCTTAATATCCAAGTCTCGCTCGCAAAGATTATTATTGGACGGAGCACCATTTTATCCACTCGTATTTTTAAGTTTCTCGATACATTCTTAATTTTGAACATGTTGCTGGAAACATACATCCATTTATTATCGTTCATAAGTCTAGTCCCGTGGGAGTTACTCTTTGAAAGTGGATACTTCCTCAAAACTGTATCGTTTTCCCGTATCTATATTTACTACAAGCTTGTTCCTTTCGTAGTAGTACATATCTGACCAATTTATCAATATTATATATTTTTTAGGTTTCGAACGCTGCGCTTTCATAGCTGCAAACCTCAACATGACCAAAAACTTGGACATGTTGATACTCAGCATATCCAAATTCACCATCTTCTACAACCAACAAAAGCAAAACACCATCGTCGTTCAATTCGGCGCCAACGCCAAAGCTCAATTAGCCTTAAAATCGGTCTTTTCCCTCATCCACCAGCACGGCAACACGATGAGAGAAGGATGGAAGCATTTATTCGATCTCCTGTTGGCTTTGTACAGTAACGGGTTGCTGTCGAAAACTTTCGTCGAAGTCGAAGACTTTATCGAACCCAGCGGGAAGCTCAATCTGGTGTACAAAGAAGCTCCCGCGGCCGCTAAGCAGGATACAGGATTGTTGAGCTCTTTGTACTCCTACATGGTGTCCGCCGAGAATCTATCTAAAATGCCTACGCCTGAAGAACAGAACTACATCGAAGCGGCGAAAGAATGCATCAAGGATTGCAACTTGGAGCAGATGATCAGCGATTCGAAGTTCTTGCACGAAGAGGCCTTGTTCGAGTTGGTGAAGTCGCTAATTGAACTGTCAAGGGGACCAGATGTGCAAGAAAGCTTGGCGTATGATTACAACGAGAACGTGACGATTTTCTTTTTGGAGGTGTTAATCAAAGTGGTTATACAAAACAGGGATCGAGTCATGACGATTTGGAACAACGTTAGAGATCATATTTATACGTTGGTGATGAACGCGTCATTGTTCGATTATCAGTTCTTGTTGGAGCGATCTGTTATAGGTGAGTAATAGTAACACGGTTACCAATTAGTATAGTGTCCTCTGCAGAATAGATTATATGAAACTAAATTCGTAAAATGTTTCGATTGTAAAAATATAATCGGTTACAAAAAGTATAGTTTGCAAAAGGGAAACAATTGTAAAATGAATCGATTGTAAAAAGAATGGATCGTAAAAATCGATTGTGAAGAATCCATAATAAAAAATCAACTATAGAAAGAATCGATTGGAAAATTAGTAATACTTAAAAAAAATCGATTGTAAAAAGAATAGATTAAATAAATAATTGGTTGTAAAAAGTGTTGAATGTAAAAAAATATCTCTTGTAAAAACGATTCGATTTTAAAAAAGGAAGCGATTGTAAGTTGTATCAATTGTAAACCATATCGATTGTAGAAGGAACCGTGAAGAATCGTTTGAATTGGTTTGAAAAAAAATATCGATTGAAAACAGTACCGATTGTAAAATGTGTAAAATATAATCGATTGTAAAGAAAGAATCGATTGTAGAAAAATCAACTGCAAATATAATTGATTGTACTAAGTCTAGAACATAACAAGAAGTACCGAATAATGTACAAAATCGACAGTAAGAAGAATTGATTAGATTAGGTTAGGTCTTTAAGGAAAAAACCGTAAGAAACCAGATTTATTTAAAAAAATACTGAGTCAGCGTCAACGTAAATTTATTCAGTCTATATTAAAATAGCAATGGTCTACTTTTTCGTTCTGTAGTCTGTGAGTAGAATAGATAATATCCAAGTGGGTGTAGAAAAACATTTTTGTTTCAGGTTTATTACGAATCGCCATCCGGTTGATGCGAAACGAAGAAATGAGCCACATTGTCCTACAATCCTTAAGGATGCTTCTCCTATTAAAATCCAGCACACTTTCCAGGATATCCCGTCAAATATCGTTCGGTTTATATGAACTACTAAAAACGTCCGCCCAAAATATACACACCAACACGGACTGGACCATTATTTTTACGCTTCTCGAATGCGTTGGAGCTGGCGCCCAACCTCCGAAACCAGTCACTTCTGGTTAGTAATAAATCTATTTAGACTGGAATTATATTAATAAAAAATTAATATTTTAGCCGAAGATACTGACTTAAAATCGAAATCTGACGGCGAAACTTCGGATCATCATGAAGAAGAAGGTGCGTTATCTGATTCGGAGCTTACGAAAAGTCCGAAACGCGGCGTTCAAAGGCCTCAGAGTCCCGTCACAGTCGTTACATCGCCCGTCGGTACTCCCAATACAGGTATAGTACTAAAAAGATGCTCAAATTGTACAAATGTTATATAAAAATCGAAAACTGGATAATGATCAACTGTCTTCTCTTAGTCTAAGAGCCGGCCACAAAAATCAAAGAGGTAGATTATTCCCCTGTCATTAACCTTGTAGTACTTAATCTTGCCTATCCCTGTGTATTAGTACGCCCATTGGTGCTGTGGGAGTTTTCTCATTGTTCCAAGTATTCCAAGACAGGCAAGGCATTTTATTTGACTTGGTTTCATTATTATTTTGTCTTTGGCCATCACACCAAAGTTACGTAAGTCATCAGTTTTACCACCATATTGTTTGCCCAATTATCATGTATACTTGGTTTTCAAAAAATTTAATTCTAACTGTTCAAAAATGACGAGCATTTTTTAACAGATATTGCAGTTACTCTCTTTATGATCCTCCCCGTATAAATAATATTTAGTAAAAATAATATATATTTCATTATTCAATATGTAGCTTGCATTACCCAATTTAAAAATCTCACATTAAATAAAGAATTCACTGTTGGGTTCTAATTAACAGCGCTGAGAAACAGTAACCAAGCCTACACAGAACACGAAATAACCTTAGCAGTTGAAGCCGACGACACACAAAAAAAAAACATAAAATTAAGCCAACCGTGGCAAATGCAAGAATGCAGTTTAACGTATTTCAAAGTTCCAAAAAAAACATTCCGTCTCTAAATATCTCCTGTGCGCAGAGCCAATTGTGGTAGATTTGATGGGACTAATTTTTAGTCTTTTATTTTCTATTCATTTTGTTACTATGTTTACAGCCTCTTGAATACGATCTCTCATTGCAGTTTTATATTTACCCTGTACCATGTTTACTAGATCATCAGCATAGCCCAATGTTTTATGTCCAATATTTTTGAGAGTTCTAAGTGAACAACTACAAGCGGGTATAATTTTCTCACTTTATGGAAAATTTCAAGTAAAACAATATAAGCTCCAACACATTTCCACTTGCAGACCTATTTCACCTTCATAGGCACATTTAAAATAAATCGTTGAAAATAAATATATACACTTTTTTAGACATGGAACGCACTACTACCTGGAGCCAGCGGCTTTTATGGTCTCTCTAAGGGTTGGAAATACCTTAATAACTTTTCTTGGAGACTTAAATCCTGACAATTTTATGTTTTATTGATATCGAAGTCAATATTTTGATATACATAGTGATAAAACAAAAAACAATATAAAAACAATAAGAAAATTAAAATGATTTGCTAGTCCAAGTTTAACACTCCCACCTTGAGTCTTCTTTGATGACTCAATCAATTAAATGGCTAGAATCGTTTGGGAGATATGGTGAACTATAAGTTAGTTATGAGCCACAATAGATTCATCTGGGTCGCAGTGGAATGCGATGAGATCATCCCACTAATTTTAAACCTAATCTTGGGAGGTCTACTTTCTCTTCCTTATCTGATTCTAATTGTAGTCGGTTCTAACTCTCTCTCTTCAGGTACATTTTTTTCTTTCTTTATGTTTCTCTTCTGTATCGTATCCAACTTCGCTTCTGTAGGGTAAAGTACAACAAAAGTGGACTTTAATTTTATAGACTGTAAACATTCATTAGATTTCTGTTCCTGTTTTTTCTCTTCAGCCTTTTTAAACCTTCACTTACACCCTCTTGTTCCAGTTCATCCAGCTCTAGTGGATGTAATCGTGGTATTGTTCTTAATAGCATTCCGAAACTTGTCTTCAACTTGACCAGATGAACCTTCTGATGAAAGACTAAGGCTCATCAATATCTTCTAAACAAAACTTTACAAAATGAAAATCGATTCACAAACAAGAAAAAATGGTACTGAACTATTTTGTCTTTACCTTTTTATGTCATACCAAAATTCAATATCCCTACCGAGTAAACTTAAGATCAGACTTCTTCACTATAGCGTCTGATTTAATCTCCATGTTTGTCCAAATAAGCCTTGATGTTTCCGCTTTCCTTGTCCAGGTTGAGTCCAGATACTTTTTCACCCCGTTTAGTTGAAAGTTTTTTCACCTCGTAAGTTTAGAGGTCGTAGTATTTCTTTCTCCTGTGCGCGGATGCAATTATGGTAGATTTGATGAGACTAATTTTTAGTCTTTAATTTTCTAACCATTTTGTTACTATGATTACAGCCTTTTAATTACGATCTCTCATTACAATTTTGTATTTACCCTGTACCATGTTCACTAGATCATCAGCATATCCCAGTGTTTTATGTCCATTATTTTTGAGAGTTATAAGCACCCCATCTATGAATCGGTTCTACAGTAGTGGAGACAGTACTCCTCCCTGTGGACATCCCCTTGTAACCCAGGCTGCTATAGTCTCTTCCATAATGGTTGTATGCTCCATTCTCCCTTTGAACATAAGTCAATCCAGGTCACAGATGTGTCCTCAATTGCTCTATATTTCAGGGTTCTTATGATAGAGTTGGCAGAGGTATTCTCGGATGCTACCTTGATGTTCATCCTTTTTACTAATTGACGGAGAGCTATTTTTTGATTTTCCTGCACTAGAATAAGCTTATTAGTCTGAACCAATATTCCGTCTCTAATATATCTGTCAAGCAGTTTATCTAAAGTCATTAGATTTATTAGTCTCGGTGATTTTGCCATTCATTGTCCAATTTTCCCAGGTTTTGGTATGAAAATGACCCTAATGTTTCGCCATACTTTTGGTATGTATCCTAAGTATGCTGCAGATTCTTCTGTAAATCCCGTTAACTCTACAGTGATTTGTATCAAATGAGTTTATTACCCATTTAATTTTGTCAGAATCCACCGCTTTTTTGACAGTCTGTTAATCTTCTCTGTTGACTCCTTTACGAGCTTCCAGTCCAGTGTGTTTTCTATGGTTTTGTGACCCAGCCAAATGAACCCTAAAGAATTCTCTTATTGTTTCAATCAATGTTCTTTTGTACTCTCCAAATTTGTTCCTAAGATGAAGGATTTTTTGGAGTCTGTCCATTCTGGAGAGCTTTCTATTTCCTCACAGTGCCTACTTTGGGAATCTTTCTTGGCTTTCCATAAGACATTGTAAGTAGTCATCTCCATCTCCCTATTACTTTAGCTTTGTTAAGTCCTTCTATTACTTGTTTTCTTAGTTTCCCAAGGTCATCATTCCACCATGGAACATTCCTGTAAATTGTCTTTTTAATGAAGGACAAATATTGGACGCATTGGGAGCAGTGTCATTTCAAGGTCTGTTATTGCTGTTATCGTCATTCTCATCTTTTGAATAATATACTCCAGGCATGAATATAGCCTTCTCAGTCAGTTTTCCGAATGGTACTGCTACGTAACTGCTTACAATACACCCAGTTTTGAATTTTTGGCTTTGAGTCAGCCTGAGTTAACTCGTTTGGCTTCTTAATATTACCAGATCTGTCCAGTTACTTGAATCGCCTGTCAAGGAATTTTGCGACATCTTCAACATGTTGTATTTCAGTTGATTTGGTTGGGCATTTGTTTAATCCTTGTTTTATTGAGCAATGCGTTTAAATTGTTCTGTTAATTTATATCTAGTAATAGTTTTTCATTAGTTATTTTCATGTCAACATCACTCATTGAAGGTACACTGATAAATAATGAACAGGAAAAGTTGATTAATTAATAAGGAATAGAGGATAAATAATTTATTTACCACTTATCATTAACATTGTCATTTGCTATTAGTACAACACTATCTATTGTTACTTGTTAATTCCCAATTTTTACTTAACATTGTACATTTTAGTTAAGTTACAACATTACTATCCCGGATATTCTCTCTTACAGACCTGATGATGGTCATTGACCAAAACTTTTGACCCTTTTTAATAAAAAAACTATTGTGGTTAATACTTTGGGAATGTTCCTTTCGTTTATTAGAATCGTCCCTTTATTAGAAATTTCCCTTCCTCTATTACTTGATTCTTTTGAGTAGAAGAGAGAGAGGTGCTGCGATGCAAGAGATAGAGTAAATGCTGGAATGCAATTTGTTCAGAATCTTTCACGCGTACGTGACCGTCGTCATGCATGTAGAAGATATATTTATCTTGCACTATATCCTTAATGCGTGGGTTGATCGCAGCTGGCTTGTACACAGGGGCGGGTAAGAAAAGGCTATGTTATGAAATTTAAACAAGGCTGTTTGTTATTGTGTATTTATTAGCAATCAGAACAAACGTAGTTCTATAAGCTGATGTGCTGTCTTGAGAGCAGTGTTATGCTCTTATTTGGCATAATGAGGTCTTCTTCCATTACAAGTCCTCTTCAGTCATTTGTTGTTAGGTCACCTTTTCAGTCTTCTTGCATTTTGGGATTCTAGACGTCTTTGGATTAAAGATTAATTTCATTAACATGCGCAACCCTAGATCTCAATACCATCTGGTTACAGGTTTTATGATATTTTTGTAAAGAAGTTTATTTTCTAGTGCTAATTTGAATTTTCTGCCGGTTAACCAGTGTAACTCTTTTATTTGGTTGCAGACACTCTTGAATTGATTAGCAAATCTTTCAACTATCTCTGAGGGATCAGTGATTAATATTTTAGTATCTACATCTTTTAGCTTAATAGTAGTGTTATTTGAACGTAAAAATCTTGTAATGTATGCATAGAAATGTTTGTCACCAGTCGTAACTAAGCTATTTTCGTATGGGTTTAACTATCTTTCTACCTCAGTATTTTGTTCGTCGTTGTTGGATGTAAATAATTCAGCCAAGTATTTAGCAAATTTCTTTGTAGCTTCTGACCCATTGTAGATTTGGTCATAGTTCGTTACGAATGGGAGGAACTTGAGTTTTGGATTTCTCAAAATGTTTTATTGATTTTTATATCATTGTCATAACGATTTAAGTTGTTTATATTCTCTGAGAATGACCTTTCTGTGCTTCTTTGATTTTTAATTTTAGTTGGTCGGAATTATTTTTATTTATCAACTGTTTATATGATCGAAGATCGTTTATAGAATAAACACCATTAATTTATTTTCCGTTATAGGTGGTTGGATTCTCGTCGGCAACGAAGGCGAAATCCAACCGGTCATGGGCCGAACCGTCCCGCCGACTCAATACGGCTTGTCTCTTGAAAAGAACCTCGGCAGCCACGATCCGCGAAGCATGATGAAATGCTGCGAGAGCCTCGCGTTCCTTGTACGCGACGTGGCCCACATCACTCCGTACAATTTCGACGTGTGCGTTCACTGCATACGAACCTTCGTCGAGGCCAGTCTGCACGGCACCAGCCTCAGACGAACCAGATCGAGAAAGAAGTCCTCGGACAGGCACCGGACGAGAAAGAGCCCTGCCAGCAGTCCTGATGAGGACGACAGTGATGACGACGACATTCCAAGCGGCTACCATCAAATATCCATACAATTATTAGATTTGATGCACACGCTGCATACACGAACGGCGCAGATTTTTAAATGGTGGGCCGAAGAGGGCGGCGAAATATCGCAAGAGACGTCGCTGTGGACTCAAGGCTGGTGCCCGCTGTTACAAGGGATCGCGCGATTGTGCTGTGATACCAGAAGACCCGTGCGGATGAGCGCTATAACGTACCTGCAGAGAGCGTTGCTGGTGCACGATCTTCAAACATTGAGCGGGCCCGAATGGGAGCAATGTTTCCAGAGAGTTTTATTCCCGCTTTTAAGTTACCTACTACAATCGATCAGTCCTAAAGACGCCATCGCCATGGAGGAAACTAGAATAAGAGCGGCAACGGTGCTATCGAAAGTATTTTTACATCACCTCACCCCACTGCTAGCGTTGCCGAGTTTTTTCAATCTTTGGTTGGTCGTTCTGGACTTTATGGACAAATACATGCATGCGGATAGGAGCGAATTGTTGTACGAAGCTATTCCGGAAAGTCTGAAGAACATGCTGCTAGTAATGGACTCGGCTAGAGTGTTTGATGGTCCCGACGGTAAAAATGTGCTTTGGAATGCGACTTGGGATCGAATAGGGAAATTTTTACCGACGATGAAAGACGATTTGTTCAAGGAAATCGAAGATCAAATTCGAAAAAACGAGGAAGTGGCGGTGAGTGTTGATGTAGTTGTGAATAAGGATGAAAGTCAGATGAATGCGGAAAAACTTATTGCCTGTTAATTTTTTTGTTATATTGTTTATAATTTTTTTTCTTTTGTGAAATAAATCTGTACTAGATGTATATTTTTTAGTTGTAAAATAATAAGTGTCAAAGAAAAGGATGATTTGTACCAATCAAATATGACAGAATATTGTATTTTAAAGTCTTTATTCCATTGTATATGTTGTATTTATTAAATTGAATTTATAAAAAAAACTGCGATTTTTTTTTATTTTTACTGTTTAGGTATGGCAGCTCGGTCAATTGATTAGTCAAAAGTTGTCAATTTGAACGATGTTGGATTATTTGAACAAATCAATTTGATCAATTAACAAAATTCCTGATGTGTCCTACACATGAGTTTCCTGCCTGGTTATTACAGGCTTTTTCCGGTTATTTTGTACAACCTATTGTATCACCCCCGTAAATATTTATTTCCAACGAAAATACTGCAAGGTCAAATAGGGTGTTTGTCAATCCTAAAGCGAATTTTCCGACTATTAAATATAAAACAAATATCTCCGCTTCTAGACATAGAAACATTTTTTTTTTCTAGCATGAGTTAGGTACAAATACCACTTTAACCTGTCCTAAAAAAACCGACTTTAAAGATCAAGTAGGGTGTTTTTCAACTCCAAGGAGAAAATAGTTGCAATCAAATATCTGGGTTACTAGACATATAAATATATTTATTTTCTAGCACGAGGTAGGTACAAATACCACTTTTAATATATGTTAAAAAAAACAGCTTGCAAGTTCAAATAGGGTGTTTGTCAACCCCAAAGCGAATTTTCCGACTATTTAACCCTTAACTGGAGTTGTGTGGTCAACATGACCCCAATCACATTTCAAATCTATGTAGAATTGACAAATTTAAAATTTAGGCCTTGCCGCTTGATCTAACTTTAAGTGAGGGTGCCTACAAGTGGCTGCGAGACGCGCGTCGTTTCCGCTTACTATTGTAGATGTCGACGACATTCAGCGGCAAAAGTCTGTTGGGGTTAGCGTGGCACCACAACGCAAGTAGGGTTACATTTTTGAAATGGCGCGCGATCCTAAAAGTGTGCGTTACGGTGATCCTCATTATGAGGAAACTACGGAAGCGGTTTGTGAATTAAGTCATTATGAGGATCACAGAGACAGCGATTTTTCGCCAGAAAGTGACTGGTCTGAAATAGATGAACCGGTGGAAACAGAAAAACCGACAAGTAATGAGAGCAGCGAGGGGGAGGAGGGTACGGAAACAACGAATCGCAAGTTTTATTATGGTAAAAATCAATACAAGTGGTCAACTCTTCATCCCGCCAACCCAAATTTGAATATACGAACTAAAAAGCACAACTTGGTCAAAGTTCTTCCGGTCCTGCAAAGTGTGGTGACGCGGCTGATCCGTTGAAAATATGGAGGATTCTTTTCACTGACGAGATAGAAAACGAAATCATTCTACGGACAAATGAAAAAATATTCCAAGAAAAATTCGATGATCCTGACCGAACAGAGCTGCGAGAGCTGATAAAAGGAGAATTTAGAGCATTTCTTGCTGTCTTGTATTACTCTGCAGTCTTCAAGTCAAATGATGAAGATCTTGAAGAGATATTTGCAACAGATGGAACTGGACGAGATATATTCAGATGTATCATATCCTTGAAGAGGGTATATGTGTTGCTTGCCTGTCTAAGGTTTGTTGACTAAATCAAAATATGTAGTAGTATTTTTTTCCAAAATGTATAAACATTTATAATAAAGCTTAAAAGGTCCCTTTCTTTTGTTTCATGTTTGACAATGCACAGGACAGAGAAGAACGCAAAATTAACGATCGAACTGCAGCAGTATCGTGGATATTTGAACATTTTCCGGTTATTTTGTACAACCTATTGCAGCACCTCTATAAATGTTTAGAGGATAAACTATATATTTTTTCCACATATATCTACTTCGACACATTTTTCTATAGATATTCATTGAAAACGAAAATACTGAAAAATTTAAATTTATCACTTTTCCTCCAATTTTTCTATTACGGTCCATTTTAGAAAAATTGTATAATTATATAAACAGAAATTATAGAGATCGATATCGCAAACAACTTTTAGTTCAACAATTTTCTTAAAAATCAGAATTTTGCACATTTTGTCAAATTTTTTGAATACGGACCATTTCAGGAAAATTTGACATAAAGCAAAAATTATATATAATAATATTAGAAGTAAATTTTATTTAAACAATTTTCTTCTCCAAACAAATAACAGATATATTCCATAAAATATAAAAACGGCCTCCCATAAAGTACCCCCCCCCCCCAGACGTTTCGACTTTGTCCAAAATCTAATCATTTCACGTCAGGCCGAAATAAAACTTAAGTTTAAAATTTAATATTTTTTCTTATCCGTTTTTGAGTTTTCTTCAAAATTCGAAATTTACACATTTTCTCAAATATCTCGAATACGGTCCATTTTAGAGAAATTATGTATAGGATAAAAATTGTAGAGAATTATATTATAAACAACTTTTATTTAAACAATTTTTATAAAAAATAATTTTTTGTACATTTTGTCAAATTTCTCGAATATAGACCATTTTAGGAAAATTTTGTATAGAACAAAAAATATTGATAAAACTTTTATTTGAAAAAATTTCTTCTATAAACGTAAATAACAGATATATTCCATAAAATATAAAAATGATCACCTATAAAGTACCCCCCAGATGTTCCGACTCTGCCCAAAATCTAATCAGTTCATTGGACGCTAGAATAAAGCTTAAGTTTAAAATTTGGTGTTTTTCTTTGTATCGGTTCATGAGTTATGGTGAATACAGACACACACACAGACATCATCCCGAAAATAGTCAAAACGGATTCAGGGGACCCCAAAACGTAAAAATCCGTCGAAAACTGGAGGTCGAAAAAACTCATGATTCCTATACTTTCCTTATCTGTATACAGATACGAAAGCAAAAAGGGGGCTTACCTATGTAATATTCTATTCTAAAAAAAAATAAAAAGGAGATACCTAAAGAGTTTCTTCCAAATGGAGAAAGAGCAGAGGGATCTTCAATTTATGGTTTTACCAACGTCTACACGATTGTTTCCCACGTTCCAAAGAAATCGAATGCAGTCGTTCTAATCTCATCGATGAATCACACAGAAACTCAGGATGAAGTGACTGGAAAACCCGAAATTATTTCATTCTATAATCAAACCAAAGGCGGTGTGGATGCGCTAGATCAGAAGTTCACCACATATTCTACAAACCGGCGAACATTGCAGGTGTAAATGCACATGTTTTACACGGATGTTATAAAAATCATACAACCATAGAGAGAAAAGGTTTTTACAAAATTCTTGCAAGGCAACTTGCGAAACCATATCTCAACATAAAACTGTGCAATTCTCGGCTACCTAGAGAGATTTGTTTGAGTATTGGCAGAGTACTCGATAAACCATTACCTCTAGAAGGGAGGCAAGAATTGAATCTTCAGGACCAGAAACGAAGGAGATGCGGTATCTGCGAGCGGAGGAACGAGAGAAAACAAAAATGGCATACAGCAAATGTGGTCGAGCCATGTGCAGTGACTGCAGGTCATATGTTTGCAACAATTGCATTTAAAAAAATCATATAGGTACTTTACTGTTTGTAGTTTTGTTGAAGATAATATTGTTCAGTATATTAGGTTGTATAGTTCAGTTCCTTGTATTTTGAACAAAACAAATATAATGCAGAAAATAATTTGCTTTTAGTTTTCTAAGTTTTTTTGGAAGATTTTGATATTATTACCAAAAAAACACAAAAATTACATTATTCTTTATTTTTGTAGCTTTTGTTGACAAATATAAAAAATATTGAAAATGGGTAGTAAGTATTTTTGACATCAAAAACCATAGAAAAATAACAAAATAAAAATATATAACTGTTACCATACCTGTAAGAACCTAAAAAAAATTGTTGAAAACCACGACGCCAGTTGGCGGTTAATATGAATCAAATATCTCGGATCCTAGACATAGAAACATATTTTTTTTTCTAGCATAAGTTAAGTACAAATACCACTTTAACCTGTCCTAAAGAGAACGACTTGCAAAATCAAATAGGGTGTTTTTTAACCCCAAGGAGAAAACACTCGCAATCAAATACCTCGGTTTCTAGACATAAAAATATATTTATTTTCTAGAGTAAAGTAGGTACAAATACCACTCAATATCTATTAAAGAGAACGACTCGCAAGATCAAATAGGATGTTCGTCAATCCCAAAGCGAATTTTCCGACTATTAGATATAAAACAAATATCACCGCTCCTAGACATAGAAACATTTTCTTGTCTCTAGAATAAGTTAGGTACAAATTTCACTTTAACCTGTTTTAAAGAAAACGACTTGCAAGGTCAAATATGGTATTTTTTAACCCCAAAGCAAATTTTCCGACTATTTAATATAAATCAAATATCTCCTCTCCTAGACATAGAAACGTATTCTTTTCTCTAGAATAGGTTAGGTACAAATACCACTTTAACCTGTCCTAAAGAAAATAACTTGCAAGGTCAAATAGGTTTGTCAACCCCAAAGATTTTCCGACTATTTGATATGAATCAAATATCTCCGCTTCTAAACATAGAAACATATTTTTTTTTCTAGCATAAGTTAGCTACAAATACCACTTTAAGCTGTCCTAAAGAGAACGACTTGCAAGATCAAATGGGGTGTTTTTAACCCTAAGAAGAAAATAGTCGCAATCAAATATCTCGGTTCCTAGACATAAAAATATATTTATTTTCTAAAATTCATTTTATTAAAATTAATTTAAGCTTGGTTAGCCAGGTGATTTTAAACCAATGCCAAACAGAAACTAGAATAAAGACTAATTTTTGGTATTAGGAAATTTGAACGGATATCTCACACATTAATTATTACTAAATGGCTAAATATGAAAAACAGAAGGAAACTACATGGCCTCTGCCTTTTGCATGAAATTCTAATCAGTCAAAAACCAACGTATCTCTTTGATAAATTAAGGTTCAGGGTAAACATGCACAACCGCAACCTTAGACAGGGATACATAATAGAAATTACACAGCATCGAACAGCCAAGTTTCAAAACTCATTTTTATACTATCTAGTAAAATTTTACAATGACTTGCACGTACACTTCAAAAATATGTCTTTTCAAAATTTTAAAAAGCACGTCAAAGAACTTTTATTTTCACACCAATGCCACAATTCTTAATAAATTTTCGTAAATTAATATAATAATGTTAATCAATAATTATTATTTCCCCTTTGTTTCAAAAAAACTACTATAATATAATGAATGTTATGTTATCAGCAATCAATTATTTTCAATCTATTTCTAAAAACCACTAGTTTCGCAAATTTGTTTTTATTTTCATATTTGTTAATGGTTTTTTTTGTTTCTCTTGTTTTTTGTCGCTTTTTTCTTATTAGCTTTAATGACTTCCTTAAGGTTCAAGAGGTAGAACAGTTTATAACTGATCTTGCACCTTTTCACCAAACTGTTATTTTCAGGATTACTTGTAATTACTGGTGAATAATAGTATATTATTAAACGAGCAATTTATGGTAGCCATTATTCACGCAGGGTGAATAATGGCCGTAAATTGCGAGTCTAATACTATACTTTGTCCACGAACATTATAGCTTCTTTATTAAATAAAAGTTAAGTGTAGAATGGAAAGTTTTTATTAAACATAGGTAACTGTTTTTCCACTTTTCAATTTTTCGATTTTTCGATTTTTTGATTTTTCGATTTTTTGAATTTTCGATTTTTCGATTTTTCAATTTTTCGATTTTTTGATTTATCGATTTTTTGATTTTTCGATCTAGAAAATAACGTTATGAAAAGTATCGCCTATCTTTAGTTATCTACCGGAATGTGCCAGAATTACAAAAGCGTGAATTATCATAATTCACTCCGTGATATATGGGTACTATATGCTTTTAGTTAGGAGGTAGAATATTGATTTATTATTAAGTGGTCGTGGACAAAGTTTATTATTATATATAATGGTTGGCATTCTATATTATACTCGTCACAGATTTTTTAAGCTATTGCATAGCTTTTATCGCGGGCTTTGAGTGGCGACCGAATCAAGAAATTTTGTAACACCGTAACGAAAAAACCTAACACCCCCACTCTGACCGGCACAGCGGTACGACGTTATAGCCATAGAACGTTTTATCCGACCCTATTCGTATTAGTATGAAGCGGAGTTAAATATACGTCTGCGGACTGGAACATTTATGCAATACAAGAACTCTGGCTTCTAATAAATTGGTATCACAAATGTTCCCAAAAATATACCATTGTCTAACGTCGTTTCAGTTCAGCAGACTTCGGCACGGTGTTTGTGTGCGTGCGACTAGACGTATGCGTGTAGACTAGCTGCTCATAACTGATTCTATCTCTTTTAGACCCAATGCTAGGTGAGACAGCGTGCTTTTGGCCGCGTCCACGAATGAGTTCGAGCCCACTGGAGTTGTACAGTATATTTTTTCTACGACTCACTAACAAAAATTGAAAAATCGAACAATCAAAAAAAAATTCCGTAACGAAAATAAACCTAACACCCCCCACTCCAAAGCTTTTCTATTTACATTTAAAACCCGGTCATACATTGCAAAGAAACGTAGCGCGTAGCTATTTCGTAAATGAACCGACATGCGTTTCCTGGTGCGCTGTTGTCAGGCTGTGAAGTTTATCCCTTTTATATTTAAAAATAGTTTTTACCTATAACTCACTAATAGCAACAAGTTTTATTAATTAGAATCGTTTCGGTTATATTGCGACACATCAAGCGTCCCCACCAATTCATTTTCGTACCTAGTGCAGTGTTTCCAACTCCGACGCATTGTGGACAGAGATGTTGCAATATTTCCCGAAACATTTCTAATAGTAAATCTCTAAATAAAATGACTTGTAACAAAACAAAAAACGTATAAAGTGTGTACAAAGTAGATTAAGCTATTTTAGCTGCTTTCAGCAGACTTGATTTAGCAGCACCTATTTCTACACCATTAAGCAGGGCATTTTTGTACCTATCGTTTTTACATACATACGCCTGCTAAATAACAACTTTGCAAATAGTAAGATAAACACTATGACATACACCATTATTATTCCTGCAAATAAATGCAAGGATTTCAAAAGCGTTCAACGTGACACTACCGCAATTTGAAATAACCTTCTTTCATTCATACTATACGTCACGGACGTCACGTATAGTATTTTATCCGTCGATAGTTTGCGACGTTGCGATACAGTGTACTTTTGCATTTTGGGTGTTCTTGTTAATTTTTAGACTTTTTTGAAAAAATTTCGCCTTGTGTATAGCTAACAACATGGTTCGCGAGTGCATTTTGTGCAAAAAACTGGAAAATGTGGGTGCTGAAGTATCTTTTCATAAGTAAGTAAGGTTAGGTAATTATGTATTGCATAGTTCAGTGGTGTAGATTTAAAGATTTTGCCGTAATATCACATGTATTATCTACTTCTGTTTTAATATTATTTTCTTTGATCTTTCAACTTTATTAATTTCGCAAAAAATTGTAATTAATAGAAACATTTTAGTCTGGACTATAGTAGTAAAATAAATAATATGCTTATGCTTGATTTTCAGATTCCCAACTAAAAGGCATACAAGAAATATTTGGCTATTACTTGTAGGACTTGAGGAAAAGGAAGGTTTCCAAAAAAGAGTGTTATGCTCGGAGCATTTGTTGTAAAATCGTTAAAAAAATGTGTTTCGTGTTTAAAATGCTTAAATCTATTGGAACAATCTGTAGTTACCTCTCAGCTTCAAGAAAGAAAAACATATGGAAGACTTACTAAAGCAAATGATATGGTTATCAACATATGTAAAGCGGGAGAAAATTTTTCTCGTTTTTTCCACAAAACCAACAATATTTTTAATAAAAATATTAAAGGGGTAAACTTTACAAAGATGTGATATTAAACTAATAGTAAGTAATTAACCTTTACTATAATCATTATGAGACGAATGAAGACGAACTTAGCTGGAGTTAACTTGCTCTTAATTTCAATTTTTCGATAAGAAAATAAGAAAGTTTAATTGCAAATTAAAGGTGATTACCTAATGCACCGCCTCTGATAATTAGGTTGTGTCTGTACTTACTTATGATATTATCTTGAAGAAGCATATTCAACAGACCTTTACACATAAAGCATGTTTTCACCATATTATTAGAGATAATAAATCTTAAATATACATTTACAACCCTTACAACGTTATAAAATAATAATAGTTTCCGTAAAATATAAATAAGAAATTGACATGTGTTAGAAAGTGTCAGAACTGGCGCTGTCAAACTCACAGAACATGGTCAAACTTGGCAACGCTGATTAAATAAGCCAATTGCAGAAGAGGTATTTTCCCCCTCGGGGGGAGTAGATGTTGCTAACAAAATTTAGCGCGGGGAAGGGGGGAAGACTCCCTCTAGTAGTAATTGCTCGGAGGTTTGATCCTTAGAGCATGTTTGATCTCATGTTACAGAACATGGAAAAATAACCATGGTTACCTTCCATCTAAATTAAAATGTCATTCGTTCAACTTGTTATGTTGAAAGTTTAAACTATTTTTTCGCAATTTTGTGTAATTTTTTGTATACCTTTTTGTATACTTTTTTATTATATCGAGGCGCCGTTTTTCGTACATTTTCAAAATTATTTTATGAATCCATAAAAAATGTCTCGAATAACGACCCGTAGCCAAGACATAGAAGAGGAGCTTTCTAGTCTACAGCTAGAAGCAGACGAGAAAAGCGAACCATCCATAGCACTGGCAGGCGAAAAGTTGACGAAATTGAGAAAATTCGTACCAAAACCGAAGCCTGAAGTATCCTCTAAATTACGTAAGTAATAAAATTACGCATAATACTAAAATCAACAAGATGGTATTGTAGTATACGAGTATACTACATCTTTTAGTTCTCTTTTTTTTTAACCAACTATTTAAAGAAATTACCAGATAAAAAGAACTAATCACTAACAAAAGCTTTAGACAAGCCTGTGTAGATAGCGTCAACCTGATAATCAGCTTCGATAGATTAGAGCAAGTAGGTACTCCTGATATAATAATAATAATAATAATAATATAATAATAATAATATTTTTAATAATAATATTTATTTACCAAATAATTACATATGTAAGGTTAACAATGTAAAATATAAGCCATATTAGGAAAAATAAATATGATAGTCCCACAGAAGAGCAAGTCTGTGCGTGGGATTAACTATAAATAATTAGTGTCTCTGACAAGTGTTTTTATAATACTTTCATTTAATTAACATATTGCACTATAGATTAATACTAATAACCATCTAATAATAATAACAACAATAACAATAATAATATTAATAATAATAATTAAAAATAATAATAATACCAATAACAATACAACAATAGTAATAATAATAACTATAATAATTAATTATTATAACTTTTTGGGACACGTAATACAAGATTATAAGAGGAACAAAAAAAAATGATTTTTTTTGATTTTTTTTTTGTTTTTTTGTTTTTTTTATTTTCAATTATTTTTTTTTAATTTATTTATTTACCCTCAATTAAGACGTGGATATCTGAGCAACTTAATGTATTACACCACTTTTTGACAAATTTTTTTAATATGTTAAAGTGATTAAGATTTTTTATTTCTGAGGAGACTAGATTATAACATTTTGGCCCTAAATATAGATATGATCTTTGTAATAAATCTTTTTTTGCCCTGATGACGGAGAAAACATCATTTGACCTATACCTGGTAGGGTATTGGTGATGAATTTTGGTTAATTCCTTTCGATTTTTGTGTTGATGTATAATGAGATTTACAAAATATAATTGTCGAACATCTTGAATTTTGGTTTCACTATAAAGTGTACTACTAGTATATAATCTTGGTTTTTTGAATATTATTTTGAGTATATACTTTTGAATAACCTCTAATTTGTGTATGTGTACCTTATATGTACCTCCCCAGGCAACAATTCCATAAGATAAATGGCTTTGAAATAGTGAGTAATATATTATTTTCAGTTGCTCTGTATCGTAATACCTAGTTAAATATTTTAATTTATAATTGACTGTTCTTAGTTTTTTTAGTAAATATTCGATGTGTATATCCCATTTTAGGTGTGAATCTAGTATTAATCCTAAGTATTTTATCTTCGAAACAGATCTAATGTCCACCCTTTCTCCATCCAAATCTATTGATAAAGTAGTATATTGGGGCAAATAACTGGAATATGAAGCAAATGCCATGAAGTGAGTTTTGTCTGTATTGATTGTAAGTTCTTTATGATCAAACCATTTGATTATGTTTGCTAAATCTATTTCTACTAGACTTTTTAGATCTTGCCAATTTTTGTCTTGATATATTACAGCCGTATCATCGGCAAAACTCACTATGCGACCCTTGCTATTTATTTTAAAGATGTCATTTAGATATAGATTAAACAACAGGGGACCCAGGACAGTTCCCTGAGGAACACCGTATTCACTCGTTAGAAAGGTACTTTTAGTGTCGTCTATTTTAACGCATTGTTTTCTGTTTTGAAGATAACTCTCCATAAGCTTGTACGGTGTTCCCCTAAATCCTATTCCATCCAAAACTTCCATAAGCTGAATGTGACTAATGGTATCAAAAGCTTTCTTTAGATCTACAAATATACATCTGGTAGACAAACCAGAATCGATACTTTTGACAATGTCGTTTGTGAGTGATACAAGTGCATTATTTGTTGATTTTCCTTCTGTAAAACCAAACTGGTTTGTCGACAATATATTATATTTTATTAGATACGAGTTAATACGTTTCTTCAAGAGCTTCTCAAATATTTTCGCAAGGCACGAGATTAGTGATATAGGACGGTAATTGGTCACGTCCAGTCTATCTCCATTTTTGTAGATCGGCGTTACGACGGCGGATTTAAACGCTTCTGGACACCGACCTATTTTGAATGCCATATTTATTATATAAGCTAGTGGTTCTGCAATTTTAGAAGAAATATGTTTTAAATCATCTGCCCTGATAGTATCTAATCCTGGACTTTTTTTGTTTGTCAAGCCTTTGATTATATCAGTAATTTCATTTGCTGTAGCGTCCATTAAAAAGAATGAATTTTTTAAATTCGTTTTAGGGAATTTTTGTTGTCTATTTCTTTTATGTTTGTTCTTATTTGCAAGTGATTTACCAACATTTGTAAAGTATTTATTGAAGGAATCAGTAATTATTGTTTTGTCAGATGTAACTAGATCATTATCAGTTTTTATTTCACTTATACTTTGAGTTTACTAGAATCAGACTTGTTTATTTCCAAATCTTTTTGATAGTACATTCTTTTGCGTTTTCTACTAATTTGCCAAATATGTTTTTGTGCCTGTTATACTCATTTATGTTCTCTTTAGTAGGATTATTTTTCATTTTATTGTAAATCTTTTGTTTTGTATTAGCTGATTTTAGTAAACCGTTTGTCATCCATGCATTTCTTTTTATTTGATTTCGTTTAAGTGGTATTTTATTAGAGCTATTTTCAATAATTTTTCTGATTTTTAATATTAAGTTATCATTAGCAGTGTCAACATTGTTTATTGAATATATGTCTTCCCATTTTTCATTAGATGCATTGTAAATTAATTTGTTTTTATCTACATATATTTTATATTTTATGGTTTTATTATTGAATTGGATTGCCTTAGCTTGTGAGATTATTTGTATTATTGTAGAGAAATGATCAGTTATATCTGAATGCATAACAATAGGGTTATATTCAAAGGAATTAGATGCATCAGCAATGAGACAGTGATCTAAACATGTTTTGGAGTTATTACATACTCTTGTGTATTCATTTATATATGAAATATAGCCGTATGCACTTGTTAAATTTAAATATATATTTATATACACCAAGATTTATTGCAGTTGAACGTCCTTGTTAGATCGCATGTTGGCATTGCGACCATTTCTATTAGTTCCAATTTATTTTACGAATTGTTCTTCTTTCTTTTTAATTAGGCAAACACAAAATTCTTGAATTTGCATTTCTTTTAGGTAAAGTATTGACTCCTAACATAGCAGTGAAAAAAAGAAATTTCACTGTTGGAACTGGCAGACCCATTGGACCGCGGAAGCCAGATCTATCATTCAAATACCCAGACGATTTGACTATATTCGGTTATCAAGTAATGGCCAAAGCGTGGAGGAACGATAAAAGAATATTAAATTTACAAAACAAATTAAAAGATAAAAAGGCCTTTTGGCAGACGTTAAACGATGACATAAACGAAAGGTTGTACGTGGAAGATCCTGCAAAGGACACGCGTTTGTGCATCTTGGATATCGATCCCGAATACAAGAAAATCGTTAAAGCCAGACCAATCAAAGATAGCATATCTTTGGGCAGTTACATCGAATGCATCAGGGAACTGTTAAAAACGAAAATAACGCTTGGTTATCGCGAGGATGATCTCGCTTTAGTGGACGCAAATATGCGTACAGAGCAAAGGATGATCGAGTTGACTAATAACAATTTTCAAAAATACGTAAATATATTCGAAGAATTCTTAGTAAGGGATCACGAATCTGCACACGGGCTTCTTATGAATGCAAATAAAATGTCGAACAGTTTATTAGTTGCCCAAAAAGAATATGAAAACTTAAAGAAAACATTGCAGGGTTTAAAGAGTTCGCTGTTCAAATCTGAAGCACGCTGGAATGTTGCTAAGCTCTTTCAAAAATTTCTGTATGAATGTACTCCGCTTTATTGGAGAAAGTTGCACAGAAACAGCTTAATGTTGTCCTTAGAACACAAGAGCTGCTTGGAGATGTTCCAAGAGATCAACGCAGATGCAGAGATCACGCTGGATAACATCCTTGAGACTATTAACCGAGAATGCATCGTTCACGAAGTCGAGGAATTGTATTTTACCGAACCGGCACAAATCATGGACATGCTGAGCTACATGGAGCAGCAAAATTTCAACAGCTTAGTCTACAACGCGGAGCTGCAGCAACCTTTGGCTCTGATAAAGGAAGACATGGATACTGCGGAGGATCACTTTGACAAGGAGATAAAGAATTTTCAATTTTATATAGATGGCTTGGAGAAGGAGATCGAATGGGAGGAGGAGCGAGTAGTGAAGTTGGAGGCGCTTGCGCATGATTTGATTTTCAATCATTTTAAGGAGATCATTTCTTCGCCGGACGTGCTTAATTTGCACTGCTTTGTTGAAGATATTTACGAATCGGTTATTGAGCCAAACACGGCGAATTTGAATGTTCATCAAATGTGTTCGCTGATTGAAAGTCATTACAGAAATCAACTGTTCGTGCTTGACAAGGTAAGTTCTAGGTTTTATTGCAGACACATACTTATAATAATATACCGAACAAGGTATTTGTGCAGGTTGACTATGTATGGAATACAAGCGGATCATAGCTTTCAGTCCAATGGACATCCATTTTAGATCTATTTGAGGACCCTAACTTACATTTGTAACGTGATCCTTAGTTATTAACCGACTTCAAAAAAGGAGGAGGTTATCAATTCGTCGCGATATTTTTTTTTATGTATGTTCAGCGATTATTCTTTAACACGGTGTCCGATTTCAATGATTCTTTTTTTGTTAGAAAGGGGGTAATTCAGGGGTGGTCCCATATAAATTTAGTCAAAATCTAATAATTGGGTCCATGAGAAAATTCTCAAACTCTTCATTTTTGATGTATGTTCAGCGATTATTCTTTAACACGGTGTCCGATTTCAATGATTCTTTTTTTTTGTTAGAAAGGGGGTACTTCAGGGGTGGTCCCATATAAATTTAGTCAAAATCTAATAATTGGGTCCATGAGAAAATCCTCAAACTCTTCATTTTTGATGTATGTTTAGCGATAATGCTTTATCACCTTGTCCGATTTATATGATTCTTTTTTTGTTAGAAAGGGGCTACTTTAGGGGTGGTCCCATATTAATTTGGTCAAAATCTAAAAATTAGGTCCATGAGAAAATCCTCAAACTCTTAATTTTTATGTATGTTTAGCGATAATGCTTTACCACCTTGTCCGATTTATATGATTCTTTATTTGTCAGTAAGGGGGTACCTCAGGGGTGTTCCCATATAAATTTTGTTAAGATGTGGTGATAGCATCTGCACGTTTTTGAAGTCGGTTTTTTTAAATTTTTAATTTACACTTGTTTTATCTACTTGTTATATGTGTTTGAGCTCAATTGATAGGGCGTGGGTTAGGTTAAATAACTCGAATAACTTTGAAAAAGAAGTTGGGCACCACTATATTTAAAGCCTACTACTTGACTCTAGATTAGTAATAAAAATATAGAAAATCACTAACTACTAATAAATAATATTTAAACCATGTTTTAAATAAGGTAGCTATCAAATTCTAATTCACATAATTTTATTAAATTCAAATTTAAGATGATTTATTAGTTAGGCACTTATCTTATGGTATATCCTCAGGCAACTTCCACAAAGGGATTCGGGATCCTTATTCGTAATTCTACAACGTGAATGATCTCGTGATATTTGGTATTCTAACTTAAACTCGAAACTGTCTAGATCTTCTAGAGATGAATCAAACAACGGTCTTCAGATTGTACCAAAACCAAAACGTTTAGGTATAAGTCCATAAAATGTCTAGAGATGAATCAAACAACTGTCTTCAGATTGTACCAAAACCAAAACAAACTTCTAGGTATAAAAACCGTCTAGATATAGCCATGCTAAAAAAAGGGTTAAAATATTAGGATAGGAAATTTGAACAGGATCTAGATAAAATGCTTTAACTAATAAATTAATAATTTAAAACTATTAAATGAATAATTTCACAGAGACTAAAATTAGTATGAAAAGGAAAAATCTTAATTAATATATTTAAATATAGTAAAGCATAATATCCTATTCCAAAAAAAAAATAATATATAATTTTATATAAAACCAACATGTGTTATCCAATTTTGAGGTTATGTTCAAAATTTGACAATTTATTTAAGAAATTCTTGTACAAAATATATATTTTCAACAATATATCATTATTAAAAAATAATTCTCACAAGACGAATAAAGGAAGAAGAAGAAGAAGAAGACGACAAATGACATTTGAGTAAGAGATGATTGTGTCGAAATAACGAATAACGGTTCCAACCGTTACACATTACATTAACCTCTGTCACAGTTAACTAGCACTACCTTCTTAAGCTCTCTTCACACGCCACAAAGACTGCAGTTTATATAAATGAAACGTATTCGCTATTCAAACTAAGCGATACGCCCTCTGGAGGAAATTTGTAAAAAAATACTCATTTTCCTGTGTTGCCAACAGTGGCGGAATTTCGCTACCTCAGCGGATTTTTACACCTTTTAAGTAGGGAAATTTTTGTCTGTCAATATAATAATACTTATTATTTATTTAAAGTTTTTATAAAACCGATTTAATTATATTGATTTTTTAAAATTCCAGTTCATTTATCATTTTTTTAATCAGTTCATTAGTTGTTAACATGTTTGTAGTGCTCACTATAGTTTGATTTGTATCAATTATCAATTCGGTTTTTTTCTTATTTATGAGCATTAGATTTAATTTCTTAGTTTATTTTAGAAATGAAATTTGCGAAAAAACCCTGCAATTTGAAATTGTACTGTATTCTGCATTGTGACAGTTTTATTTCGGTTTACATGTTAACAAAGTGCTACAATGTTCACTTTAGAATCTAAGAATAAGATTACTTAGATTTTTAATTAAGTAAATAATAAATATTAGATAGGTACTTGAAAATTTCATTTAAACCACATAATAAAAAATGCCCTGCGTTTAATAAACAAATATTTGTTCTAGATGTTTGTGTAGCATCCAGATAGGTGAAGTTTTCCAACAAATTAGTCACATGACGACAAATTTTATATTTATTACGAAATTACAAAAACTAAACTTATAATAAAATGAAACTCAGCAACATTATTATAACGATAATAATATCTAAAAACAGTTAAAAAATAAAAAATACGAAGACCCGCCACCGTCACAACATAAAAAATGTATACAAACAATTGTGTCGGTAAAAATCAAACGTGGCTATTCTCCATATTCCAAAAAAATTGAGTTTTCTGGGTATTTGAATTTTAAATCGTTAATCTTATTGACACTGTTCATCCAAACTCCTTTCCAAACGTGTGAAAATATGACCGTTATTTATAAGTTTACTTCAAACTCGGCCATCTCCACAGTTCCTGTTAAATTAAAATTGGCCATCTCCATCAAGTCCAATCAAGTGGCTTTGTTTCCAGTTTATTAAACATTACTGTTAGATGTGATTGTTATGAGAAGTGTGTGTGTTTTGGATTTAGTTATAATTCAATAAAATAAAAGTGCTATGGAGACAAAAATTGCTAAAGTAGTTCCAGATATGGCAAAGAAAAGAAATATGTTGAAGAAAACAACCAAACGACTTCAGAAATCGGATAAACTGTAAGTTCAATTTAGCATCCAAATAACCTATGTTCTAATGCATGTATTGCTGTGAGGCAGAGCCGCACTCTGAATCTGAACTAAAAATAATGTCGCAAATTTTATGCAAAGATTTATTATTCCATAGAAGGGCTAGTTATTTTTGTTAGGAGAAAAACTTTATCCTTTTATGATTTTATTTATAAGTTTATGGATACATTTTTTTTTAATTTAACATGCAAACTACATCCTGTTGCGGACGAGCTAGACAATTTAAAATTATATTCTATTATGCTGAATACTACCTATTGGTAGTTCTGTCTGTTCTAGTTCCATTCTTGTAGGTACTTTACAACAAGACTTTTATTTTCCAGATATGCCGCGCAAAAAAAGTATACGAGTGCCAGTTACTAAATTCTAATGACTGTTTTTCGTTCATAAATCATTTTATACATATACAACAAAACCACAACAAGATAACTTTATACTGCAACATTGTAAAGTATCCGTTTTTAAATAAAATGTTTATTTAATTATTTTGTTTTATATTATACTAATCCAGCCCTGTAAGCACCTGTACTTTGTTAAATCAAAATCGTCTATCTCCAATACGTTTTATTTCAAAATTGGCCAAATCCCCGACTATCAAATCAAACTGAGCTATCTCCAGAAGAAAAACCGCAATTGTAGCTTTTGTGCAAAATAATCAATATGTATTTCTATGTAAAAAAGTGAAACTTAATGAAAACTTTTAATAAAATAACGCAATTTCACTATACTTTCGTAAATTTTTTTAAATTACTAAAAGTACCTTTTTCAGTGTAGCAATTCTCACGGAGATGGCTAAGTTTGATTTTTAGCGACACAATTAATCTACTTGACAAATGACAGGTGCCATAGTCATTTCATTGACCTGTCAAAATGCTGCCAGTGGGAACCAATGAACTGGAGTGGGGTAGAATGCTTGTTAATAGGCTTGAGATGCGACTCTATGGGCGATCCACCAGCTTGTGGATTGAACAATAACAATGTGAAACAGAAAATGGTTGTTACAAATACTCCCGAGTGAGATGAGAAATAAAAATGGCTGCGCCCATAGAGTCGCGCCTTGTTCTATTGATACAATATGCACATTGGCTTTCCCACTCCAGTTCATTGGTGGGAACTGACAGTTTGGATATGTTGCCATTAAAAGGGTCAATGATACATAGTTATATAGATTGCTCAAGGCGGGTCGGTTACAAGCGGACATATTCTCTGACAAGGGTTCATTAATTTAATTCAGTTTAGCAAAAATAGGTTTTAAAACCAAGCAGAGTTATTTGATTATAAAATGCTATTAAGAGACATTTCTTTTTTGTACAGATCCCTGCTGCACAAGTAGTTGAATTGCAAACTGCAACTATCAAGCAAAGAGATAAGATGATCATTTTAGGAGAACAAGCGATTAAAGCCCATGCAGAAACAGAGAGTGCTCTTAAAGCTATATTGAAAGGTTACTCGCCGCCATACGAAAAGCCAAGGCACAAACGTAAGATTTTTCTTGAAATTTTATACATATAGTTTAGTTCTACATGTCTTAAAACTTTTATATTTTATCCTGTCCTTTGTTACTTCTTTCTAATTGATCGTTCTCGTCTCATCTATATCCGGTTGTTTGACTTCTTGTAACAACTTTTCGTTGGGCGTTATATTCTTCTCTTTTCACGTTCTTTTCCACCCAGTACCATTTTTGTAGTTCTCCTATTCATCTTGCTCTTTCTGCTCTAACTCTGTGTTATTTTTGGTTTCTGGAATATGTCCAATAACTTTTTATTTGTAAGCCTTCTCCAGGTATCTTTTGGTGTTCTGGCCCGCCAAATATTTTTTTAACAATTTTTCTTTTCCATGTTTACGATGCATACAATAAAATTCAGAATTCTCTTATTTATCTCACTTTCTCTTGCTTTGTAGATGTTATGGTTACTCCTAAGTAATCAAACTAGCTTTTTTTTAGAAATTATATTTTCTTTTTCCTGCTATCCATTTTAGTGCATTAGAATTATTTTTCTTTTACTTTTCATTTATTTGCAAGCCAAATATTTTGCATCTTCTACTATAAATTTACGAAAATTTTTCCAGTTCTCACTTTGATCTTAATATCCGCAAACGCGCATTATTGCACATTGTACTTTATGGTGAAAAATGGATCCTGTTATTTATATTTAACTTTCTTTTATTGTTATTTCTAATACTAGATTAAATAAGTTCGTTGGGAGAGTTCTTCATTAAAATGTTTAATAGATTTCTTAATTTTCTTGATATCCTTACTTTTTAAGTGCTTCGTACATTTTTCTTTGGATTTGTTGAAGTTAACCATCAAAAAATATTCAATAACTATCCCGATCAATATTGATTCCCATCTATTCATCATAATATAAAGAGTGGTTTTATTTCAATATTTTGTAGAAATATTTAGGTTATAGTCATAGTAAGCAACTGATAAAATTTCGATCTAACCTGATGAAGATAACCTTTAACTTTTGATGCACATCAGAGAGAAAAATATGGCCACGAATTTGCTGAAGTCGCTCGAGATGTACTTACAAATTACACTTGTCTCTTTCAAGTGTAGCGCTTTAGCTATACATCTACATTCATTAATAACGGCAATAGGCATATTTCTGAAGAGGTGATTTATTTCCTCCACATTCCAGGCTACTTTTACCTCATTTCGAAATGCAGACTAAGTTTTGGTGTAAACTTACCTACTAGTAAGTCTCCTACCGAAAATATCCAACATGTATTCATTTGAAGATAAATCCGAATTTCTTGGAGGACGTGCCAATAATAATATTTGTATATAGTATAAAGCATGTGTACTAGGTATTGGGATTTATATCTTACATTATTATAATAGCTTCCCACATTAGCTGTTAAATCCAGGAACATATTTTTAGACGTCTTAAGCGGTTTTGCGGACCTAAGTGCAGGTTGCAGGTATCTACCACTTAAATAAATTGTTTCGGAATCAGGTCACGTTTTGGAACTGTCGTCTCACATTTAATTTGTATTCAAATTATCCATAATTTCCCAGAGACGCATAGAAGAACTTTATTTAGAGTTTTTTGAAATAGTATTCTTATTTTTAGCTGTCATGTTTAGATCGGCTTGCCCAGAAGAAATAAAACCACCGCCTCCACCACCAAGAGAACTATCACAAAAGGAACAGGACTACTTGGAACATTTGACGGAATACTGTAAGTTCTACGAGGATCCCAGAGATTACGGAGTTGACATAACTCAAGAAGAGGAAAAAAAAGAAACATCAGTAGCTGTAGTGCAGCCTAAGGGACCCAAATCACTGTCGAGAACCATGTGATCAAATTTGGTTGAGTTTAACAGATACTGGACAAACTTAGTAGGATGCTACAGAAAGTACTTATAGGGTGTGTGTTTTTATAAATTGTAATAAATATCAGCGAAGCGTGTTTTGCAATTTTGGATGCAAAATGAGTGACTTAGTCAAAACAACTGGAAGAATTTAATGGCCTGTGGCCATAGAGCACACACTGTTCCTGTATTTTATGGCATTAATGTCTAATATAGCTGTAGTTCTAGGATAGCTTGGATATTTTGCGGGCATAATGCAAAATCAGTGGATAAAAATGAACAAATTATTACGACCGAGGAAAAAATGGAAACGTTTTAATAGTAATTTAAAACTCAATTTTTATCAAGATATAAAATTTTGTATTATGCCTACAGATAGATATGCAATAAAAACAACATTGCCGGTCATTAGCGTTTTATTTCACCAACTTCAATGACAGTTATAGGCCTAAATAACGCTATATAGTGTGACGTAATTTGATTTTTGTGTTCCACGGACAGTTAACTTTTAAAAAAACATCTTTTTAACACTGAATTTGACAAACACGTTCATATATATTTTTTAATCCACGTAAAGTGTTCCTTTACCGCCCGCGGACTACTTTACCGCCCACCAAGCGGAAATAGCTACTTGTGTATTGAGAGCCGCTTGAGATAGAATATTTGCAGATCGGCAAAGTTGCAGACGTTCTGTAATCTCACCCTTGGGCTAGAACGTTCTATGTCGTGGGCACTAGGAATGGCAATATAGCAGTGCACATTTGTCGCGTTTGAGAATCCACATCGGATGCATCTGAGATGTAGTAAATCTTTGATAACGTGATTCAGTAATGTAATGGGACAGATGTGTCCGATGTGGATAAAAAACGCTCGAGATGTAAAAAATCCATCCGATGTAGATTCTCAAACGCGGCAATTGCAACCCGCTTTTCGTAATCTTTTTTATAGATGGGTGAGCAATCTGTATAATTATGTATAGCATTGGGTGTCTCATAAACGTCTAAGGTGGATGAATGACATTTCTACTAACAATAAAGAATTATTATTATTCTCAATCTTTTTTATTAATTTAGATTTTTAAAATGTTATTGTAATACTTTTAAATTCAGTGTTACTAAATACCAATATTTTGACATTGGATACACTTGCTTGAGGTACAACTTTATAATTTATTGTAACTTAACCATTTAAATCTTTTTGCTTAAAATGTATATACATGTCCAGATTTTAATAATTTTTCACATTTTATATCATTTTGACCATGTAAACGATTGTTTGTTACGGGCCGGTATCTATATTTAACTATTTAATATTTTAAAAAATATCCTTTATTTTTTACTTGCAATGTTTACCCCATTTAATTCTAAAATTAAACACTAGAGAGGGCTAACTTCGGCAGTAGTGCTGCCTCTATATTTCACGCACGGTCCCTATAGAGGTCGTTAATAAGTAGTTTAGAGAAGCTTAATTAAAATAACAGAAACAAAATGTTAATGAATACTTATTCGTATAGCCTCTAGTTTTATATCTCTACTGTCACTGTTATTGTCATTGGAACACAAATTACGCCATCACTAATATAGCGTTTAGGTGTTTCAACACCATTTAAAAACAAAAGAAAACGTACCTACGCAATATTGATCAGGTAACGAGTAAAATCCCTTAGGTTCGCTAGTGTATTTACGACAACAATGTTGCCAATGGCGATTATCACTGCCAGCCTAGAGAACAGGATATCATTTTATCCACTCTAGAAAAGGCAACCATACAAGCAAAAATTACACGGGGCTGTTCACAAGAAGGAATATTATCTTCAATGTTGTGGTAAGTTCTAGTGGACGACCTACTCAAAACATTGTCCAAAAAAAGTTACCAGTGCCTAGGATACGTGGACGACCCAGCAATTATCGCCAGAGGGCGATTTGCAGGCACAGTATCAGAGCGATCTCAAACAGCTCTAAACTGGTACAAAAAGGAGCAATTGTCCATTAATGCACAAAAACAACAGTTGTACTATTCACTAAGATCACTAGAGTACTAAACAACATGGTTATTCCATTTGCCACAGAAGCCAAATACCTCGGAGTCATATTCAACCAAAGCCTGACGTGGAATCAACATCTTTAAAAACTCATACAAAGCTGCAATAGCTCTCGTAAGCTGTAGAAGAATAGGTGGGAATAACTGAGGTCTAAGCCCTAAAATGACCGTATGGTCACGGAAAGAAACTTTCAAATTCAAATATCAGCCCAACAATCCTGAAAACAGGAACCTCCATATAGGCTGAACTCGTCTGGTACACAGATGGTTCAAAAACCAAGGAAGGAGCCGGAGCTGGAATCTGTGGACCCAAAACAAAAACAAAACGATTTTGCCGAGTCTAAGAATATGCAACAGTGCTCCAGGCTGAACTAATAGCCATACAACACGGTGCATGAAAAATATTAAATCAGCTAATATCGGGCAAAACTATTGCCATCTACTTTAATAGCCAAGTAGCTCTAAAGGCAATTCTCTCACCAGAAACCAAATCACGACTGGTGAAAGACCGCCTAGAAGACCTGGCAGAGCTAAGTAGTCAAAACAAGATGACAGACCACGAGGGATATCAGGGCAACGAAAAGGCCGACGAATTAGTCCGAGAAGGCTCAGATAAGGCCATGACAGGCCCCAAACCGAGTTGCTAAGGCATTGTACAAGGCATCCATCAAATAATGGATGGAGTCTCAGAAATGGTGAAACAACCATCCAAGACTGATACAGGCCAAACAATTAATCAAGGAACCATCGGCCTACTGGATCAAAAACGTCAAATCGTAAGGTTAACAGTAGGTCTTTTTACTAGATACCGTCGTCTAAGAAGGCACATAAGTGTCATCAATCCAGCAGAAGACGCAACTTTGTCCCACAATAGATCCGAAAACATCGCTGTGGACAATGACCAAAAAATATCCAACTCCTTTTAAATCTAATCTAACTCCATTTAAAAACAAAAGAAAACGTAGACAAAACTTACAAGTAAAAATCCGATAGGTTCGCTAGTGCATTTAGGACGAGTGTTGCCAATGGCGAAGATTTTACCCGATTTTCAGGTATCCTTACCTAACTTGAATTGTCATAGTTTATTCATCAAAAATTATTGCGTGCATTTAGTGGACGTGTAATTGTACTTTTTGTGACATTAGTTACAGTCATCTTCTTTTTCCTTGTTACACACACAAGTTTCTTTATATCATGAAATAAAACAAAGACAAATCTAGTAAGTATATAATAAAAAAAATATTCTGGCAACACTGTATGGTAAAAAAGATCGGTTCATTTTTTGCGTCAGAAGTATAATGCAAATTCACGCAGACCAACCGCGGGATCTTATTTACATGACAGTCTCTACCTATATATAGTGTTTTTTGTTTTTTGTATATATGTTCTACAATAAAACTGTGGGTATTTATTATTTTTCTTAAAATTATTACTTTTAGACTGACTTATTGAAACTAGACTTTAACCTTGTATTGGTTTTGAAGAGAAATTAAATAATCTGAAAGGGTACTTTCTTATAGGTCTAATTTAGATGTCTATCAAATATGTTATTTGAGCGATTTAAGGTACTGTTTTCTACCAAAATTAAATACCCAACTAAGGCGTGATTCCTTACGGATAAATATGCGAGAACCTTTTTTTTTTAGTTGATATTCTTAATCCTCAGAGAATATTTAAGCTTTCGTATCATAACTTTCACTGGGGTGTGTGGGGGGGGGGGGGGGGGGTTAAATAAAAGCTGTTAGTAAAATAAACAAATATAATGATTTAAAATGAGGTTTAGTGAGTTTTGACATACCAAAATATAATAAAATCAACAAATAGAACAAGAAAAAATTAAGATAAAATTCCTAGTAAAATTTAAATTAAGTTTATGACGATGGAATTAAGTTTTAGGATACTAACATTTTCTAAATAGCAATTTGTTTATCCTTCATAAAAATTGAATTTAATATAGTATAATTAGGAGTTAGATAATTGATACAAATATTTTGCCACTGTCACAAAATTTAGAGGCTACTCAATTCAGTTTAGAGCAGGTCGTAAACCCAGTGAATTCCCGTTTTTTTTTTGTTACTTATAAATTTTGACACAATTTATCGAGCTATAAGTTGATACCATAAAACTCAAAAGACAAAGTTAGTTATTGTCTCATTGGACTGACCACCTGTATATAGGTGATGGCCCCCGGATTCGCCTTATCGGCGAACACTACTAAAAAACCAGCGCAAAACTACACAAAACCGTTCGCGCCGCGAATTTTCTTTCAGTATATAAAAAAAAAATAAAAAAATTAATAAACTCAGTGAGATCTGTTTTTTAGTCGTTCCCCCGCGATGGTCTAACCCCGACTTCCTTTCTTTATAATTTTTTTCCTATTTTGCGGCCCTCTCGAATTTGACGTTTTGCCGTCGGAAACTATTTAGGTTAATAAAGAAATAGAAACAGAAAAAATAAAAAAGGAAACATTTTCTCCCTCTTAACATCGCACAAATAGTATATTACATTACGAGTGTGGAAAGTGACATTTTTCACACGAGTGGGAAATATTGTCGCACAAGGCGCAAGCCGAGTGTGGAAAATCACTTTTCACACAAGTGATGTACAATATTTTTCCTACGACCACAAAATAATGTCATCAAAAAAATGTAAAACCAAAGTTATTATTACTATAATAATTAAAATGTATTTAAAAAAATAATCAACAATAATCGTATTATTCAATTTTCATATTTTTTAAACAAAAAAAAATAAAAAAAAAAATAAAAAAAAAAACAAATTCTGCCCCGCCAGAATTTGAACGCGGTCGAAAAATGGCAAAGTTGATAAGTTCGACGTCCTAACCACCTGAGCTAATAGCCCTTGTGTCAATTGAATGATCTAATCGGTTATGTATTTAACCAGAATAAAGAGCAAACATTATTTTAATAATAATTGTCAAAGATAAATATCTAGGATCTAATTTACAACAATTTCAATAATTTAACAATCATATCGATTTTAGTATTAATATGGACATTACATAGATCAAAATAGAAATTAGGTGTTGACATTTTGTGACAACTACTGCGGAAAGTAACAAATTCGTACATGGGTGGAAAGTATAGTATATTACATTACGAGTGTGGAAAGTGACATTTTTCACACGAGTGGGAAATATTGTCGCACCAGGCGTAAGCCGAGTGCGACTATCACACGAGTGTGGAAAATCACTTTTCACACAAGTGATGTACAATATTTTTCCTACGACCACAAAATAATTTCATCAAAAAATGTAAAACCAGATTATTATAATAATTAAAATGTATTTAAAAAAATAATCAACAATAATCGTATTTATTAAATTTTCATAATTTCTAAACAAATAAAAAAAAATA